TAAGAAGTTGATCTTCACTTTCCATCCTCCATTCAGACGGAACCTGGAACAAGTCCAGTAGTTTTTCGGATAGCCGACATGGGGGCTCTGTCAGGGACAGCTCTGAAAGCAGCGAGGTCCCGGTGTGCGGGACTCGGTGGGACGAGTAGCGGCTGTGCGTAGCGGCGATCTCGTCATGGGGTGAGTGTCCCCAACCACTTAGTCTGAAGTGGGAATGTGAGTTATTATTAAAAGGGAAGGCTACACTACTTGCCTGAAGTGGGAATGTGAGAAGAAGGCTACTTCTTCGGTTCCCACTCCAGCTGTTATTATATACATGCGGGATCGGTCACGTGGGGCGTGCCACATCACCCTCACACACAGCCACGGCTCTCCGGGTGCCTCCACGGGAGATCCCGAGAGGGCCCGCTGTGGGTGCAGGGTAAGTGCGGTGCAAGAGGGCTAGCGGCTCTCTATGCTGACTAAGCTCGTGGGGCCAAACTCTCCAAAACTCCTACTTCTTGACTAGACTCTGCTTATCTCGATCCTTAACTCCGTGGTGGGTTCTCCGGGATTTCCGCAAGGTCCGGGCTCAGTGTCCACTACTCACTCGTTGTGAGCTAGATCACTGCCCTTATTCCTACTGTTGGAATTCCACACACTCACACCCACTCTAGCACGTCCTAGCACCTTAGAGAATTTTGGGGGAGGGGAGAACTTCTTTTCAAAAATCCGGTATGTACAGGATTATATCTAATAATTATTTTTAGAAAGAATAGATGGGGAATATTGGTACCATATGGCACCTGGGTACCTTATTAGGCGAAATAATAAAAAAGGGTAACAGTATCAATAAAAGAATATTGATCAATAACTGAAATGATGGCAAAATATGAAAATATATGAAAATAAGCGATTTCTCAATGGATTTGCGGAATTAAGAGCCTAAATTGGAAATGTAGCCGGAGATAACTCTCACACAGCCAATAAGCATTTTTACCAATTTATTAGACGCCGTGGGAACGAGTGAGGCTGGAATCCTGGGTTGCCGCTTGAGATTCCCATGCCCGCACATACTCGTGACCTGCCATGCCTAACTTGCCCAACATAGAACTCCGTCAAATCTCCACCGATTGGGACGTTCTTGGTATCGTCAGAATCATACGAATTAGCACTATTTTTGGATACCAAATTCGTATCGAGTTGTCGCGTGAATGGAAGTGGTTTCTGAATGTTGGAAGCGGGTATCCGAGCCGGCTCTGCGCGTGGGCGATTATCCCGCCTACAGCGGCGGCGATGGCAGCGATATAGGAACAGTGAGATACAAGAGGGGAAATGGGCATGCGCGCCGGTGATACATTGAGCAGCGGGAAAGGTGGTCCATGTGAGAAAGAAAGGAAGAAAGAAAGAAAGAAAGAAAGAAAGAAGGAAAGGGGAAAGGAGAAAGGAAGAGGGAGAAGCGGTGCGGAGCGGTGCGGAGCGGGGGAGCGGAGCGGGGAGCGGAGCGAGGGTCGGGTGGGGCGTGCCCTGACAGGCTCTTCCCTTTGTTTCCCTTTGTCTGCCTTTGGGGCTTGACTTGGGGACGTGAGGGGGGGACTCCAGGGGATAGTGGGGCCCTGGAGTTTCCTGCAACTCTATCCGATCAGCTTTTTGGGCTGATCGTTCGGCGCTTACGTGTTTTTTGCACAAGTCAATCACCTCGTTGTCAGGGCCCGGCCTCGGACTCGGAGGCTCCCTGACCTCAACCCCCATCTGGCCTGTCCTCACACTATGCAGGGCATGAGATGTATAGTAAAAGAAAGGGAATATATACACTTGCCTATGCGGGGCATGAGATGAGAAGAAGGGTAAAGGTCTCATCTCCCCGCATGGTTGCTATATAAAGGAATGGGTCACATGCCCACAACTATACAGCTCCTAGAGTTGTGTAGTGTGACCCGGAGGGAACATCCAGGTGGCAGTGCCCAGTAAGCGTGGGAACGTTCTGGGCGAGTTGCTTGCCCAGAACTGTGGCTGTGACCCGTGGGAACATTCTGGGCGAGCTGCTCGCTCAGAAAGTTCCCACGCTATCCCGTGCGCGCGTGTGTACACAACACAGAAAGGCAACAACAAGGCAACAATGAAGGAATGGAAGGAAGGGATTGGTTGGGGAGTCTGGGGCACCCTAGGGCAGGGTGCTGAACCCTGACACTCGTGAGGAGGTGAGGGATCTTCCCCAGCTTGGGTTAGATCGGTATGTTGTGGAGTTCTGGGGGTATTTTGCCCCGCACTTACTCCACGTAAGTTTCTAAAACCTTCAGGGACCAGCCCTGAGGTGGTTGCTAATGCCGGATCATGTTGATCCTCATCGTCGTCTGACGACAGCTTTTGGTTTGAATCTCCCATGATGGGAGATTGCAGTTTCTTTATAAACCACTTGTTTCTTTTTAGTGTTGCTGCAGATGCGACCTTGCCCTTGCGGGCGTGTTTAGGTGCCATAGGCGCTTCCGAGTCAGATGTTAAGATTGTAGAGTTGTGGGTTGTGTTGTAAAACACACCTCATGCACTTAAAAAAGTGTGAGGTCTTAGGGTAGCTCAGCACACAAGGCCATAAGTGATACAAGATAGTGTATTTTACGGTGGTGTGTAAGCAGTTACCCAGAGGTTCCCGCTTGCCCACATGACTATATGTATCTAATTTACATGTGACTCGGGGTTCAGGGCTATTGCCCTGACACACTTGTTGCACCATCAGTGCAGTTTGCACCGCATATGGTTGGAAGCCCCTTTGTGGAGGCTGGGGGTATGCAGTGCCTGTTGGCATCGTGGATGGTTGTTGGTTCATAGCACTCATTTGTGCCACATGCATCATATAGTCCATGGTGCTTATCTGCGCCTGGTGTTGTTGTTGTTCCGAGGTGCCTTGCTCCCCAGGTTGTTGTATCTCGATGTCCAGCAGCTTGTTCAGACCAAATCAAGGGTTGCCTCCCCCAGAGAATGACATTTCATCATTTCATTTCTCATGGTGGTGGGAGGGGTTTTGGTTCTTGCATGTGTGGGATTCACTGCAATTGTGTATGGTTTTACACATGAGCCTGTGGTTCTAGGCGAGTTACTTGCCTAGCCCATGTGATCTCTGGCACATGGTGTGGCTGTCCGGGTGAGTTGCTTGCCCAAAAATTTCCCATGCTCTTGGCTGTGGGCAATCACCCTTCAGCTTCACTTTTTCCACCTTCATTTTTGGGGGCATAGTGATGCCGAGAGTTCCCTATCTTCTTTGATAGGGAGTTTTTCTGGTTCCCTCACATTTTGTAATGTGAGGTACTTGTCCAGGTGGACAAGGTCATTGCAATTTCCTAGGGGTTCCCATGTGGTGTCCCCTAGCTCCCATTTGACCTTAAACCAGAGTTCTTCATGAACCCACATGTGGTTTAAGATTTTGCAAACTACTGCTTTGTGATTGGGGTCTTCCCTGAAATCGTAAAATATGTTTACTTCCCTATCTGGGAAGATTTCTTGGTCATTCGGCTTGTGAGGTGTGAGCCAAGATATGTGGAATCTTGGGTGGACTCCATGTTGTTCAAGTTGTGGTGGCAACTTGAGGATGTAGTTTGATGTCTCTGGAACTGTTTCCAGAATTTCATAAGGCCCTATATACAGGGGCTTTAGTTTGCCTGCCCTTCCTTTGGGTAGGTTCAACTTATCCATGGATAAGTATGCAAGCTCGCCTTTTCTCAAAGGTGGGTCTGGGTGTCTTTTCTTATTTGCCTGGATTGTTTGGGCAGTGCAATTGTGTATTATCATGTCATGTGCTGCCATGAGGTTTTCCTTTGCCTTTTGGGCGAAGTTGTTCACTCCTGGGTAGTCTGAGGGTGGTGCTGTTAGGCAGAGTAACATCTGAAAAGTGTAATATCTCCCATGGGCTCCATGGATATCCATGGGTTTTCATGGGCTTCCATGGGCTTTCATGGGCTTTCATGGGCTTTCATGGGCTTTCATGGGCTTTCATGGGCTTTCATGGGCTTTCATGGGCTTTCGTGGGGGGCCATGAACACCCATGGACACCCATGGAAGCCCATGAAAGCCCATGAGGTTCATCTTCTGCCGGATATTTCTTCCATATCTTCTTCTTATAAAATTCAATGGATTTTCCACCATTGCTAACCTCAGGGTTAGGTTCAAGATACACAAAAGATATTCACCATTCCAACATCAACATATCAGCATCCACAGCTTTTCCAACAATACATTCCAATGCCCGGAGAACCTTGACCATTCTAATCATCGTTGCCGCATTTCTAATACGTCCTTGCATTGTTGACAGATCTGCTGCTAGAATGTCTTTTAGAACGATTTGGTTCCCCCCCTGTGCAGGCTGGATTGCTACAAGTGTGACATCAGCACCAACAGCATAGTAGCCTGAACACATGGGTCAATAACAAGTACTAAGGAAAAAGAATCACATACCAAGCACATACGGAGCGGGGTCATAGGTCCATCGAGTCTTTTCAGTGAGCTCCTGACAAGGATGTTTTCCAGAAAACGATGGCCTCTTCTCCTCCCCCCGGAATAAACAGGCCAATTGCAAGAGGAGACCAAAATCAGGCCTGAAAGACCCAGTATGCGTACCGCTATTGCTGTTGCGTATCCACTTGGGCCCGTCAAGACACGTCGTGAGAATATCCAGGATGTTGCGGTCCCAGAATGAAATGAACGAATCTTCAGTACCTGATGAGTCCGGTGGAGTCCGGAGGATTGCTGCCCGTAATATGGGGAAGATGAATCTAGCCCTCTCATCCTCATTCTTGACGAAGAGCATCTCAAGGTCATCTGAAGAGCAATGATATTTAGGGATCATTAGGTTCGTTTGCAGAAGGTCCCGCCATTCCAGATCGGAAATGGGGATTTTCTCCTCGGGATCAAGAGGTGCATCCAGATGGATACTCAGATCAGTAGCGTTAGGCATGAATGGGAGTGGAACATTCCATTTATCCAACAACTTCCTTGAGATATCCACTGCAGACAAATGAGAAATTTTTACTTCAAATAAAAAGTGGCGAAGACCTACCCGGATCCTCACGCTTCCTCTTTCTGTCAGTCGCGGGTCCAGGAGACTGAATAATGAGATGTAGAAGTCCATCCTGAGGCCGACGGGGGAAAATGCGGAATATCCTCTGCACAGGTGATAGCGTTTCTTCATCTTTAAGTTCAACCTTCTTCAGATTCTCCTGGAAACTGCCGTCGATTCGGATGGGGGGAACCTTCCAGAGTGTGAGGCTGTCTGCGTCCACGTGCTGTAGAGCAAGCTTCTTGTCTTTGATCGCTTCCTTGAGAGTACCAACAGACTCTGTAATCGCAATTTTGACCGGAAAGATTTGGCTAGCATCATCGTTACAAATGAGACAGCACAGTTCGACTAATTGTGCCATTAAAAAGGGGCTCGGTGAATGAGGAAATAGGTCACAAACAGAGAAGCTTCCCAACTATCACTCACCAACACGCGGGAACAGAACAACGATGTGTAGGGCTTCATCATCAGGTTGATCCGGGAAAATGCAGGACAATTTCTCCATAAACGGCAGTGCTTCTTCGTCTTCAAGTTCAACCTCCTCTACATTCTCCTTGAAACTGCTGTCGATTGAGATGGAGACCTTCCAGAGTGTGAGGGCGTCTGCGTCGATGTGACCAATTGCAAGCTTCTTCTTGGCTTTGATTGCTTCCATGAGGCTACCGACAGACTTCGTATTGGATATTTCCACTGGGAACACTTGGCGAGCATCATCGCCAAGTATCCAGCAGTTCAGGTCGAATTTATCAGACATAGGTTGAAAGTCCATCCCGTTCAAGTGGGGTCGGCAACTTGGATGAGTGGGTTGTGGTTGTGGTTGTGCCCACTTATGTAACAGAAAGTGGCCCTACAGTGTGGAACGAGTGAAAAGCACTTCTTACATGTAGCAGTTGGGAAGCACGGATGTTTTGACCTATTTAGCCTTGTTTGTCGATTGTCGGTTCGAGCTAAGTGCATGGCATGGCTCGATCTCTAGCCAACGCACGATCCATCATACTGTGCTTTGATCATTCATATCCATTCTTAAGGATGATCCAACCCTCACGACTGCACCTTTCACGGTGCAATTCCAGAAGCTCGTGGCTGAACCTCTCTCCGTCTGAGGGCATCGCCCTCCGGTGATCCTGTGGTGGTCATTGTTGATGCTTTGGACGAGTGCGGCGGGCCACAAGTCTTTGCCGATATACTTCAGAAAAGAGGTACGGCGATTACCGTTTGTCAACTAGCTCAATACAATTTTGACCTCGTTGATCGTTTTCTCCCACCTGATTTCCCTCATTGAGCGGCTTGCGTTGGATCTTCTGGATGATTCCAACAAGCAAAACTGATATTGCTTCTTCTCTATGGCACAAGGAAGGTCAAGGGGCAGCGCAGCGGCCCTTGTAGTTATGGGGTGATCCTGGTTGCCAAACAGCCACTATCTATTGCGGCGTGGGATATAGTCTTTCCAGTCCGAGACACGTTATATTCTCTCATGGAACTATCATTCCGTCACGCTGATCCATATTATTCATTAGTCTTTCTGTTCACCCGACGCGACATCACACACCTCAGACTAGTTGGCTCGATCATTCATCAATCTTACTAACCAATCTGGGACGTCATCCAGAGGCACTCCTCTGTTGCTATTCATCCGACGTCATTCCGAGGCGCTCCCGGTGATCGAAGAGAGGCTGCAGCTCTGGCGCGGGCTCGTTACATAATGTTCATCCGACATTATACACACAATATTTGGCTCGATCTCTCGAGGATCTTAAGATTACGTTGGACAAACCAGGAAGACGTCATTTCGAGGCTCTTCCAGTGATCGAAGAGAGCGTGAGACTTAGATGCTAGCTAGCCTATCATTCAATCTAGCCTCACCTATCTCCTTCGTTGAAGAATTCATTCCCCTGTTGCATTTTCTATACGTTACCTGTATGCCCCTGATTTAGCCTTGACATTGGGACTTCTATCTGGGGCGCTGGGGCGCCGTTGAAGAGTCGACATCGTACTATCGTCAGCTTCATTCTGATTACCCTGACGTCTATTGCAAACGGTCTTTGTATATCACATTTCCTGTATCGCTGATGCATTGGGGGGTCTTGGAAACCATCGTGAGCTAGCGCGCGGCTATACGCACGCTCATGCAGAAACTTATGATGCAGCAGGGGGAGACATACCCTCTATATTACGGTAATGGAGGCCCTCCGTATGTCCGCGTTATATAAAACATAAACCACTTTCCCTGTATCCTCTCACCTGGGATATACTCAAGATACGAGTCCATCAGTGCCCTAACCAAACGTACGACGTATTCCTGTTGTTCCTCTCCGCGATGTTCTGGGTACGCATGAGAACTAATGGTTGTTTGCCACTCCAGGCAGAGCGACAAAAACAGCCAGATCGGCGAGTTCCAACTCTGTAGACAGCAAACATCAAGTGGGTGAGTTACCCAAGGCCGTCGCTGAAACAGATTTCAAATGTGCGTTGCTTGTCGATGATCACCGCAGGCGAGTAATTACAGTCGTGATTGGTTCATATGTATTGGGACGCAGGGAGTATAATCTAATCATTGCGAAGACTTTGCGAGATGGGGGATTCTCAATCTCCATGTATACAGTGTAACTGGCAGCCACTAGAGGGACATGTGAATAAACTCGCTTCCTAGCGCAAGCACAGGGACTATATATATGGAACCCCGTTTCCTCTTCGTGCACAGCGCCAGATCCGGAGTGTAGGGGTTAGTCTCCGCGTCCAAAAGCACAAGACAATGGAACCATCATAGCACTGTCCTTTGAGCCAGTGGGGCATCACACGAGGTGTCGCGAACTTGATGCAGGGTGGCGTGTTGAGAGTGGGTGCGGACCATGCGTTCGTTGAGGGTTGAGGTTAGCGCGCTTTTGGGTTGGTGGTGGTTAAGCCTTGGGGCCAGTTGGTGGGCTGGGTTGCGGATGTTCTATGCGGTCTAGGCGTTCATGTAAGGACGTTGAGTAAAGCCGTTGAGTGTGTAAAGGGCGTCAAGTGTTGCGGAAGCGTTGTGGAAGAACTGCTTCCGCTGCGGAAATTAGCTCTTTTGTTTCCTCAGCTGACATCTGCTTTTAGGGCTTGCGTCAGTGACGGTCAACTGAGGTATCGACTTAGCCTTTTTCTTCTGCTCTTTGCACACCAGCGAAACGATGAGCAATTCACGGAGATTCGCACGGTCAATCCGTGCGGTTCACCCACCAGCCTCCCTTCGAGTTATGCTCGTCCCGTCACTCTTGCACAATTCGAGTCGGATATGTCAAATGGTGAATCACAATATCTTGAGCGACTACCTGTCCTACAGGTCGGCTTTTTCCATAAGTAAAACCGTAGTGCCTCACAGGGCAGTGCAGTATATGCTTGCTTCACTATCACTGTATCGTTAGCGCTCTACACCGATCCGTTCCCTGTCAACCATGTCACTCAAGGAAAAGGCTAATGCTCTCAGACGAGATGTCAATCGCATCCTCACAGCAGGAGGTGACATCGCCATCCCAATTCTCACAGCCATCAATGCTGCATCCGATGCATTCCCTCCCCTAAAAGGTCCCACTAGCGGCGCGCTCTTCATCTCCAATGAAGTCCAAGTAAGCGATGGGTTACGATGAATCAGGAACCAAGGCTCATCGCTCGTAACACACAGAAGTTCAAGTCGGATAGGAAAGAATGGGGCGAGTTTGGGAAATATGTAGTTGACGTTGTAGCGGAAGTACTAGCGGCCATCGAGTCCTATGACACCTCAACGGAAGAAGCAAAACCTTGGCTAGAGAACGCCAAGAAGCTGGATGAGTGCGTGCAGTTAATTCTCGGTCGATAGGCTATTTCATTTACATTTCACAGCGCGCTTAAACAGATTACGACCGAAATGAAACCAATCGTTGCAAAAATGGAGAAACGGTCCGCTGTCACCAATTTCTTCTCACACTTGAAGCATCCAGGAAGGATTGACGATCTCAAGAAAGTCCTCGACAGAGCTTTAGCATCATTTCAGGTAACTCTTCCTCGCATTATTGTTCCACCACTATCCTGACCAATCGGGGCCGTGTAGCTGAGAACTAACCTGACAACTGGCGCCAAAGTAACAGACATGGCAAATAATCAAGGCCGTTTGAGTCGCAGGCTAGAGAGCGACTCAGTTCTGAGTGAACTGCGATATCCGACCATCGCCCATCATGACCCAGTTGAGGGGTGCCTGGAGGGAACTAGAACAAATCTTATCGATCGTATCATGACCTGGTGTCGCAACACGCAGGACAGTGCGAGGCGGGTGATGCTACTGACGGCGGTGGCAGGGGCTGGCAAGACATCCGTTGCTCATTCAATCGCAGAAAGGTGTGCGAGCGAAGGACTACTGTTGTTGACGTTTTTCTTCAAAGCAGGCGAGCAGTCACGGCCGGACCACCTGTTCAGTGGCATGGCTCGATCACTAGCAACGCGCGATTCTTCATACTGTACTTCCATTGTATCCATTCTTAAGGATGATCCAACCCTCACGACTGCACCTTTCACGGTGCAATTCCAAAAGCTTGTGGCTGAACCTCTCCGTCTGAGGGCATCGCCCTCCAGTGGTCCTGTGGTGGTCATCGTTGATGCTTTGGATGAGTGTGAGCCGCAAGTCTTCGAATACCTTGCCGATATACTTCGGAAAGAGGTGCCGAGATTGCCATCCAACATCAAATTCTTCGCCACCTCGAGACATTTTGATCTCGTCGATCGTTTTCTCTCACCTGCTTTCCCAATCGAACGCCTCGGAATGGATCTCTTAGATAACACAAACAAGCATGACTGCTCCGTTTACATCCGCGCACAGCTGCGTGGACTGAAGGATGCCCATCCTAGTCTGAGGAGTGAATTCATTGAAGCGGATGCGCTAGTCCACAAGATATCGGAGAAGGCGAGTGGCTTGTTCATTTGGATCAGCGTTGTCTTCCGCTATATGAAGTTGAGCGGGAAGAATCCGAGGAGAACACTGGATAGGCTGCTCAACATAGGTACCAACCGATCAACGGCTTCTCCTGACGGAATGATGGATGGCCTGTATACAAGCATTCTGGACAAGTGTAGTTGGAAGGATGAAGATTTTGTCCACGACTACCCAATTGTTATGGGAGCGGTCTTAATTGCCCAACAACCACTGTCTATCTCAGCATGGGATACAATTTTGTCGCCCTTCCTAAAGTCTTCCATCCGTGACACATTATCTGAGCTTACTCCCCTCCTCTCATGGGACCCGTATTCCGACATGCCGATTCGTATCATTCACCAGTCTTTCCGCGACTTCCTCATGGGCCAAATCGAGCCTGAATCACCCAACTGTCATCGTTATGGGGTGGATCCGACGAGGGTGAATGCGAAGATGGCCCTGCGTTTCACTGAAATCTTGAATAAGGATCTTTGCTGTGTGGGGGGTTTGGGGCTGATTGAAGATTTGGCTAGAAAGGATGAACTACCACATATCCCTCAAGAGACGCTGTCTGAACAGCTCAGTTACTCATGTCGGCATATCGTGTATCACCTCATCAAGGTTCAGGAGCCACCGGAGGAGCTCAGTGGATCGGTTCGCACATTCTTGAATCAGTATATAATGCACTGGGTAGAAGTCTGTGTGAGAACAGAAGGGTACATCACTGTATCATCATTTCCCGAGTGGGCCAAGGTATGAATTGTCAACAAGCTTCATAAGCCATTCTTAATGAGTCTCATTCACGTTCAGTTGAGCATTAATCGTTTTTCAAAGGAAGATATCCACGCATTGACTCGAGTGCTTGACAAAGTGGGAGCGAATGTAGAATTCTTTTCAAGATTTCAGGAGGCATATGAGTTGGCAAACGATTGTGTAACACTCTGCCGTTGTCTTGTGTCAGCAGACTCAGAGTCTTACATGCCAGATTTGGCCCGATCACTCCGCAATCTTAGGGTATCATTGCAAAACCTGGGACGTCATTCCGAGGCGCTCCCTGTGATCAAAGAAAGTGTGGAGCTGTGGCACGAGCTTGTTGCTGTCGATCCAACGTCATACACCCCAGATTTGGCTCGATCGCTCAACAATTTTGGCATATCACTCACCAATCTGGGATGTCATTCTGAGGCACTCCCGGCAAATGAAGAAAGCATTAAGCTCTGGCGCGAGCTTGTTGCTGTTCACCCGACATCATATACCCCAGATTTGGCTCAATCGCTCCACAACCTTAAGGCATCATTGGACAATCTGGGACTTCATTCCAAGGCACTCCTGGTGATTGAAGAAAGCGTGAAGCTCTGGCGTGAGCTCGTTGCTGTTCACCCAACATCATACACCCCAGATTTGGCTCAATCGCTCATAAGTCTTAACTTTTCATTGAACCAACTGGGCCGTCATTCTGAGGCGCTCCCAGTGATTGAAGAAAGTGTGAGGCTCTGGCGCGAGCTTGTTGCTGTTCACCCAACATCATATACCTCAGATTTGGCTCGATCGCTCCGCAACCTTAGGGCATCATTGGACAATCAGGGCCGTCATTCCGAGGCGCTCCCAGTGATCGAAGAAGGCGTCAAGCTCTGGCGTGAGCTTGTTGCTGTTCACCCGACATCATATACCCCAGATTTGGCTCAATCGCTCCACGACCTTAAGGCATCATTGGACAATCTGGGACTTCATTCCAAGGCGCTCCAGGTGATCGAAGAAAGTGTGAAGCTCTGGCGCGAGCTTGTTGCTGTTCACCCAACATCATACACCTCAGATTTGGCTCAATCGCTCATAAGTCTTAACTTTTCATTGAACCAACTGGGCCGCCATTCTGAGGCGCTCCCAGTGATCGAAGAAAGTGTCAAGCTCTGGCGTGAGCTTGTTGCTGTTCACCCGACATCATATACTCCAGATTTGGCTCGATCGCTCCGCAACCTTAGGGCATCATTGAACAATCAGGGCCGTCATTCCGAGGCATACCCAGTGATCAAAGAAAGTGTGGAGCTCTGGCGCAAGCTCGTTGCTATTCAATCGGCATCATACACCCCAGATTTGGCTCAATCACTCATAAGTCTTAACTTTTCATTGGACCAACTGGGCCATCATTCCGAGGCGCTCCCAGTGATCGAAGAAAGTGTCAAGCTCTGGCGTGAGCTTGTTGCTGTTCACCCGACATCATATACCCCAGATTTAGCTCAATCGCTCCATAACCTTAAGGTATCATTGGACAATCTAGGACTTCATTCCAAGGCGCTCCTGGTGATCAAAGAAAGCGTGAAGCTCTGGCGTGAGCTCGTTGCTGTTCACCCGACATCATACACCCCAGATTTGGCTCAATCGCTCATAAGTCTTAACTTTTCATTGAACCAACTGGGCCGCCATTCTGAGGCGCTCCCAGTGATCGAAGAAAGTGTCAAGCTCTGGCGTGAGCTCGTTGCTGTTCACCCGACATCATATACCCCAGATTTGGCTCGATCGCTCCGCAACCTTACGGCATCATTGGACAATCAGGGCCGTCATTCCGAGGCATACTCAGTGATCGAGGAAAGCGTGAAGCTCTGGCGCGAGCTCGTTGCTATTCACCCGACATCATATACCCCGGATTTGGCTGGATCGCTCCGGAATCTTAAGATATCATTGGACAATCTGGGCCGTCATTCTGAGGCGCTCCCAGTGATCGAAGAAAGTGTGAAGCTCTGGCGCGAGCTCGTTGCTGTTCATCCGACATCATATACCCCAGATTTAGCTCAATCGCTCATAAGCCTTAACTTTTCATTGGACCAACTGGGTCGTCATTCCGAGGCGCTCCCAGTGATCGAAGAATGTGTGAAGCTCTGGCGCGAGCTCGTTGCTGTTCACCCGACATCATACACCCCAGATTTGGCTCGATCACTCCACAATCTCGCTTGCTCATTCAATCTCCTTGGTCGCCCTACCGATGCTTTGCCTTCCATAGAAGAAACTATTTCTCTTTGGCGTTTGCTACACATTACTCATCCAACCTCATATTCCTCTGATTTAGCCTTGTCGTTGCGAGTTCTATCCCGCTTGTTTTCACAGCTGGGACGCTATACAGAAGCACTTGATGTGGGCGAAGAGTCGACATCACACTATCGTCAACTTCATTCTCAATACCCTGACGTCTATACAAATCATCTTCGATGGTCATATTCCTGTATCGCTGACGCGTTGGAAGGTCTTGGAAGGTATCATGAGCTAGCGGCTATTCGCACTCTCATGCAAAACTTATGACACCTACACTGTACATGACGGAGACCAAATTGGAATCGACCCCCCCAGCAAACTACGCACCGCTGAGGTATCGTGACTTCAATACCGAGAGTAAAAGCCCGCATGATCTCCGTGATAGCTTGATTCCCCGTCGTGGGGTTCCAGATGAACACTATCAAGTGCGCGAAGGCATGAAAGTATTTTCAGTGAATTTGGATCTCGAGGAGATCCTTGGGATTGGTGACTTCTCCAGCACCAGCATCGGCTGAAGAACAGCGAGATCGCGAGAGTCAAGTATTTCCATTAAGTCACTCATTAACAGAACCACACAAGAAGAGCATGCCACTGAACAAGTGAACGAGTCCTAGCACTGACTACACCGAACAACGAGAGTGCCGGGCTGCATAGCGAGGATGTGAAGAGGGATGAATAAAAGGTGTGTTGGATGGGGTCGGTTTGTATTTATTCCATTTGTTCCGGCCAATCAAGGTCTTGGGTGGGATGCGATTGTGACGGAGTTGTGCAGCCGATTCAGGAAGGAATGCTATCAACAAAGTGGGGATCGCGCCGGTGTGTGGTGGAGACGGGATGACTCAGACGTCAAGTCTATCATTGTCTGTGATCCTTGCTTCAAGTCGCGCATCGCTCCTTCTTACCTCGTCACAGACTCCAAACTCTTATCGTCATCAGAGCAGCCCGTCTCGCCCTCGGACAAGGATCAACCTATTCTATCGCGCGTCTTAAGTGATATTTGCCTTCTGGCCGCTTGGTCTATTTGCAGTTTCCTGCTACTGCAAGCGCATGGCGAGATGCAGTCCTTGCAACTCTCCATTACGAACCCCGCACCTACCAAGGAGATGTCAAGGCGAAATGGTATCGGATTACTTCATCCCCAAACCTCTTGAGCGTTTGCCACCCGGGTTGTTATTACGCATTTTTCTACACCGTTAGTTTTGGGTCTCATTTCTCAATCTATCATCACAACGCCAACGTCAAAAGAGAGCCGCAACGGAGGGACTGTATTCTGAATCCTGACGTGCCTCGCCATCCTCGACTTGTCCAAAAGATTAATGAAGTCGGCAATTTTGATCAATACGTTCGAGAGCGTCCGGATTTATGTCCTTGTCCGCGTGCAAAGTGTATGGAACACCCCGGTATCATGCAATGGTACGGGAACGGAGATAACTTCATTGCTTGCGAGGAGTGTTATTTCGTAATAGCCCGTTGGCCCAATACGCGAAGCCGCGAAATTCACCTCAATATGACATGACTCAATGGGCGAATACTTGTCAACGTGGAGACCTGATGGAGTTCACGTACTTCTGTGAGAGTCCAGCCTGGGCTTTCAAGGAAACGGTGTTGAGGGCAAAGCAGATGAGTCGAGAGATAGCAATACGTGGGCGAGGAATCGGAGATTCGAGCGAAGAGACCGCTACCATACATAAGCTGCATCAACGGTGGAAATGTTGGCATTGACACTCTTACTCCATAATGAACGTTGTATCTTCTTCTTTTGAGCCGTACGAACATACATGCGACGTACGGGAATGGTTTTCGCATGCATTCGCGTACCCGCAGTGGGCAGTATGCCATTTGTAATTGTAAAATGCGCAAACCCAGTGAGATGGAGAGTCCATCGCTCCTCTGATATGCAAATGACTTTCCTGAATGCACAGTTCGCAGATGCCAACCTGAAGAGCACGTTGTTCACAAGTGCGTGATGCATCAAGCGGAGATCATCAAGAATATGATGGGGATCAGAGGAACGACGTTTATATGAGGTGCTGAGACGACAGGGGGTGGAAAATGGGCGACTAGTAACATGGGGCTTATACGGTAGAGGGGAAGAGATAATCCATCGGGGCGAAGGAGAAAGCCAAACTCACACCAAGAGCTGGCCAATCGTTGTCATTAGGAAGTCGGGGAAGGGATACATCTCCGTTCGATTAGCGTGTAATAATGCCGGGAGCAAGCGCACGAGCGCTCTATCATTAATGAAATACGGACTGGTGGCCTGCCTAGAGAGGCGCGCGTGACAGTGATGCGAGGACCTTTATACAGTAAATCTACGGCCGACCCTGTGCTCACTCGCCCATCTCTTAAGTCCCTGACACGCAAGGGATTCCTTGCAATGCGTGAATACTTTCCCTTGGTCGATCATTATGTACAGTTCTGCAAATAATAGACCGCGTTACCACTTTGATACTAACCCTGGCCATAGCATTGTTTTATTGGGGTAAACATAGCGACCCTCCGGAGCTGGATGTTACGTTGTAACAATGCATCCGAGATACACTTCGACTTACACATAGAACAGACACACACTGATTAAACCTCCAGGTGTAATGTGGGAGTAGACTGGGGCCCGGTGATCACTGCTAACCACGGCCACCAGCGTCGTTCCACAGTGAGGCCAATCGCTCTATGCACACCTGCACGCGTGACATAAATTTGCACAATTCAGGACAGATACTAACAGTCGTCATGGTGAGCTGAAGTTTGACCAATAGGTACAGAACAAAGCCGAGACCGAGCGAACCTTGCAGTAGGGAGCCGAAGTTCATTCTAATAGAGGCGGGTGACCTGCCTAGAAGTTCATGCCAGTGGCAGGGATTTTCCTCTTTTAGGAAGCTACATCGTGCACTTGTAGCTGTGCTCTCCGGGACTCATACGCGCTCGCAATCGGATCTCGAGTCGAGCGTGGACACGGAGTGTCACAGACCTGTTAGCGCATCAGGTTTATGTTGAGATTGGGTATTTCGCAGCCAATATGAAGTGCGTGCACGCCGGCACGCACCGTATGCATGGTAATGGTGTCGTGTCATAGACGTCATCACGCCATGGCCAACTTGAACTAGGTGCATCAATTAGATCTTCGGCCCCCACATGCGCACGCAGTCCTCAGGCTATCACCGGACCGACAATGAAACGAATACAGTTAAAATAGGGCGTCGTGATGATGTAATAAGCCATGCGTGTGTGTACGCGTTGTGGGAAGGGCACAGTGTCACAACAAGTCAATGACGCAGATGTCGTCATTTGTATTGTTGATTACGCCTTGACTCTGCGATGCTGATGACGTTCAGGGTGTTGCATTAGCGATGGGCAGTGCGTTGACCGGATGCATCGGTCAATGAAATCATTTCTAAGCCAGTTTTGGGTTGGCCTTCATGAGGGAGCGAATCATGCTATATGACCGGAGCTGCATAGAACAGTTTGTACCTAGGCATGTATCATTCTAACAATATTGCAAGTTCCACACCAGCATTCACGTTCGACCGGATCCTAGAATAGTGCCACTTAAGCACTCCGCCGGATTCGAGCGAGCGAGTTAGCCATTGAACCGTTTAGAGGATCCGGAGAAGAGATGAGTCATCGCAGTGCCAAGAAAATAGGTGTGTCACTAGAGCGGCGCTCCCACTAGCGTCATATCGCGTGTACATTGAACATGATAAGGAGATTGTGCCATATGGAAGCCCAACAAATGATTGTTCCACTGAAGATGGTAAACTCACTGACAGAATTTTAAATAACGGCATGCTGGCTACCCAATAGTCATGAGCACTCAGGCACGACACAACAGAAATAGCATACAGGTGTGCCTATCTGCGTTACCGCTAATAGAGTACTGCGTGATTCACGATTGTCGGCATCGGCCGATCTGAGTTGACGGCCACACAAGTTGGTCGACATCAAATTACTTAATGTCAACAGTGACTATCAGTCTACCGGGTCTACCACCCAAGTACCACACCCTGTCTACATCCTCCCCCTTCCCTACCCCCTGTACTGTTACGAAAGAAAAGCTCACCCACTATGTTCACGATCTCATTTCTTTCCTTGCAGAACCGATGGTAGCGGAGTTGACGGGGTTACATCCTAACCAGTTCGCGCTTTCCGACCTAATGCAAAGGAAGATTGAGTGGGGTGGATGGGTAGAGCTGTTAAGTGGCGGTGAAGAGAGACTAAGCTCGAGAGGTGAAGTTGAAGGGAATACCAGGTCGTTGGATTCTTGTACAGAGGGGTTGAGTGACGACGCTTTGAGAGGACTGGTTAAGGATGGAATCCTTCCTGTCAGTATGAATCTTTCTCTTCTGCGAAACGAATGTGAACTCTGACCTTGACTTTGACTTTGACTGTCCTGTCGGTTGAACGATGTCGAACTCGGTCTTCTACCTGCTAGTCAGCCATCTGCTCCTCAGGAACTGGTGAATCTAGTGAATTACGCTCGTATGCTTTCTCTCGATCGGACGGTCGGTTCGCCGATCTTTGCTCCAAGGGCAGCACAAGGACTTAATTATAAGGGACTTACAGCCAAGAAAGCACATGAGGTCCTACAGCTATCGAAGGTGATTTATGAAGTTTTGGGAGAGCAGCAGTCGCGGGTGGCTAATGGTGGCGAGAGCGGTGACCCAAGGGGTGACACTTCTCGACCCCGATATCGTGTGGTTGACGTGGGTGCTGGTCAAGGATACCTCTCGAGACAATTGGCCTTCCCTTACGCTCGGCAGAGTCAGAGCAGTCCGGATTTGGGTGTCACATCGTTGCCTCCAATTGATGTCTTAGTTATCGAGTCAGAGAGTCATCAGCTTGAGGGAGCTACTCGGAGAGATGCAGTGCATGTGGGGGGAAACATTAAGCTGGCGGAACGGGATGGTCGAACGCGTCGTTCTGGCACCGGCCCGGGTCCTGTCCCTGGTGATTTCCACGACGCCTGTTCTCAAGCCGCAGGTCTGGGATCCACGGACACTATTGGATCCCTAACATATAAACAGGCACGGATATCGAGGGACAACCTTAGGAAGGAGATATATTCTTGGATCCGCGAGAACATTTCTGGTACGGCAACGCAAGATAATACGGAGGGTGATAGCCCAGGTACTACAGCTTTGCTTCTAACAGGATTACACGCCTGCGGATCACTTACGCCCTCTATACTGCATTCGTTCCTCGATCTTACGACCCACCGATCTGGAAGTCATGCCAGTACGACGGCGGATGATTCCAGTTCTGATTCGCCCGGTTCAAAGGTGAGAGACCTGTTGAAGGCCGAGGACGTTTCGCTTGTTGTGGTGGGTTGCTGTTATAATTTAATGACGGATGAAGGTTAGTGGGTCTTAGATTTTCTCGTAAGCTTTATCTCATTTTTACAATATATATTATTATAGACTTCCCACTTTCCAAGGCCGTCCATCAATTTTGGGAAGAAAAGGGCGCTTCCGCTTCTACCTCGTCTACCGGACCTTCCATCGTTACCACTACCACCCCACGTCTAACACGCCAACACCTCCAACTAGCCTGCCAATCTCCTTCTCAATGGGTTCTCTCGGGTAAATCATGGTCCGAAGCATCCCTCGCTAGACGAAAAGTTGTTTACCGTGCGCTGTTGGGGAGGTATGTGCAAAGGGTGCACGGTCACGATGTGGTCAGAGTGGATGATAATCGTGATGGTGATAGGGGTTACGGCGGCAGTTGTGAAGGCGATAGGGATGAGGGAGAGATGCTGCCAGGCTCAGGTCCTATGTCTATTCACGGGAAGAGACTTGGACGGATGCGAGATTCTGTGTATTCGAGTTGGGAGACGTTTCTGAAGATAGCGTTGGAACGATTTGATCTCCCTCCGACGGTCCCGCTACCATCGTCGCTGCCTTCTCATAACCACTCAAATGCAGGTAAAGAAAATCCGAGGACAGGGATAGACGATCTCTTCCCCAAAAAACTTTATAGACAAATCGAACTCCTGCATGTTCTTCAAGCGCTCGTGGGACCTGTTATTGAGAGTCTGATCGTTGTTGATAGGGTGCTATATGTTGCGGAAGGGTTGGAGAGGTTGGAGTGTTGGAGTGGGGATGGGCAAGGGGAATGGGATCCGAAAAAGGAGAGGGAAGCAGGGAAGTGGAGGGTTGAGGGGAGGAATGTGTTTTCTATCTGTTCGGGAAGTGCGAGGAATGTAGGTGTCGTTGTTTATTGGGAAGGGAGAGGGACGAGAGGAGATAACGGCCCCTGAAGTGGGTGTGGGTGAGACGACTCCACCTTATCCTTGCTTCCTTTTGCCTGAATGATGAAGATGCTAAATGAATGAATCGTACAAAGATGTGCCCTTAGGTTGCGCGCACTGCTAGAGGGTCAAGTCATGCAGCGGCGGCGGGCCAGTTCCCTGCCCCATACCGTATTTTAATTGTCATCGCCTTACACGCACCGCTGTGTTATTGCAATATTGGCCCCATTACTTCCTTGGTTATTGATTTCTAACCTGCAGTGTCAATCATGCATGACCTATAAACCATCTACATAGAATAATAGTTATTATTGGTTCGCCACCTACTCGACGCTTGGGAGCATGTTCTCCTTGAATAGCCCATAGATGATAGAAGGACTATTGACTGTCGGCTTTGCCAGCTATCTCACATCGCTGCCCAGAGCAGCTCCCTGTGATAATATGGCTAGCATGAAAGCAACCTGAGGGCACCGCATAGTTTCGGGCCTTGAGACCACCCACACTGGAGGCTCTATTTATAGACGCTAGCTCTAGCTCTTCGGTACATAAAGAAATATGTCCGATATGAATCCCCACAGACATACTCGTTCAAGGCCGAAGAAACTATAGGCATTATGCCGATGCGTATGGCCTTTCCTTCCCCGCAGCACTTTTACATAATGATAATGGATGCTGGTGTCTGGAATCATGAGTTTTCTTTGCCAGGTCCGTCCATTTTAGTGGGCGAATGTGAGGATCCGACGGAATTCCTGGAGTTATGTAAGGAAACAGTGTTGAGAGGGATGAGGATGAAGTTGGAGATTAAAGGACGGGAACAGGGGCAATTGGGCATAATTATAATGACCCGCTTAAGGAAACAATGGAGACTGCTACGATAAGGGGGCTTTTTCTACAACGGGCAGGTTGGTATTGATATTTTTGGCTCTACCATAGTTGTGCGCTTCTGTACTCGTATGTTGTGCGAACTTTCATACTGCGAGGATGAAGATGTTTCCTGTTCATGCGTGAACGCATACATGCAGTGCTACCTATAATCTAGGAATATGAAAGCTCAGTAAACGGGTGTGACGCTGGCATGACACTGCTTTCCCAGTACTGCCAGGTTTACCTCTCCCACTAAAGTAAATAAGCTAAATGCACGGACTCAGTCTCGAATGAGAGATCTGAGGGAGTGTGAAAAATTCCGCGCACAGTGTGTTTTATACACCTAGCGCCAATATCGCTTATAGCGACTGCCTGCTATAACCGGCAATGAAGTAAGCATCAAGACAAAAGGTATATACGATATCCTTGATTGATATCGCGTCAGTAAAAAGGATATTGGTAAGCATGGACATTGATATTCCAATACCCACTGCCCCCCTCCATTCGTCATGCCGTTATGGAAGAAACACTAGCCATGTTCACAATCTCATCTCTTTCCGGGGAACCTATTCACAGGAAGCGACCTGAACGAATGAAGGACTTTGCGTATTCAAACTGGGAAATTCTTCTGAAGATGGCACTGGACCCGAGCGCGTTAGCGATTAATCTATCGGAGCTGTTAACTTATTGAGGGTCTAATTATTATGGTTGATAGGATGTTGAGAAAGGGAAGGAGATGACATGGATATGATACGAAAGTTGTGGTGCACTTGAGCTCAGCATGCATATACAATGATTCCTTCCATTCTGAGGCACAGCTGTGTCTCTGCAGTACCCTCACCCCTCTGACAGCTATTGATCCCTGACACCCGTGCTCCAATGCAGCAATCACACATGCCGTACAAACAATAATAATTTTTTATTGGTCCACCAATTGCTCGACGCTTCAGAGGTAGATGACTGTGTGAGGTTTAGGGTTGTTCTTCCTTGGTGAGTCTGGTGGGTCTTCCTTCGGAGTGGCACCCTTCAGTCAATCATCTACATGGGGAAATAAATGCTCGAGACTGGTATCCTCAGGTTTGCTCTAAGGTATGCTGGGCACATTGATTTGGCGAGCTGCGAGTGGCGATGTAAGCTGCCACCCGGCATGCGGAGCAGATGGCACTTTCACGAGTCCAAGACCGCGGACTCTCCGGTACAAACACAAAGAAATAAAGGAATTTGCCTGACCTTAGCTGCGTCGGAAAACCCAAGCCACAGGCATTCTGCATTAATTGTTCCGGTGGCCATAGCCTTTCCTTCGCTGCAACACTTCATATAATGGCGGCTGGTGCCTGGTTCTGATCCGGTCGTCGGATTTTCTTGGCCGGGACCAATGAGTATAGCCATCAAGTATATCATTCCCACTGCTTCACACACCAAGCGCCCAAATCCATTCGGCAGTGCAATTGATTTTAAGGTACAAATGGGTTCGGCAGGAGTCAAAAGGGAACCATTGCACCAGGACTACTGAAGCATTCACTTATGACCATGAACTACTATGAAGCACTCGAAGTTCCGTCAACAGCTTCAGCAGACACGATCAAACATCGTACGTATTGCTAATCACCTGCCTCAAAAGCGACTATTTATCATTGGGTATAGAATACAAGCACTTGGCTCGTATATGGCATCCAGACAAGAATAGGGGAAACGCAGCTGCTTCAGAGAGGTTTAAGCTGGCAAGTAGCAGGTGTCATCGAGTTGGGTCGAGTGGGTTCTGAACCCGCTTCTTGAACAGATCAGCGAGGCGTACGAAATTCTAATTGGTCAGCGCCGTTAGGTCCCTTATCCACGAGATGCCCACACTCATGAATGATATTTAGATTCGGCAAAACGTTCCGCATATGACCTTGCGCAACATCAAGGTGAGTTCATGATGCTTTTTTCCCCAATGCGCATCTTCTCAGCGTTGCGCGACCAGGTTCGAAAATCTCAAAGCCAATTACTACACTGCCTGCCCGCGCTTGTCCGAAAAATAACTTCGTGGTCTGGCCTTCGGCCACTTGGTACGAACTCTCTGCAGCGCCTGGGGTCTCCTTCTGCTCGTTTTGTTATGAGGAGCACATCGCCGCAACTCGGTTCAGCCAAGCGTTTAGAGAAATTTCTGCTCTTCCACCACATCCAATGAATTGTGGCTATTGGGCGCCACGCGTGCGACTGCTCTTCGAGGGAGTCCTCAAATCTGGTGACTTGTCCGCACTTATTGCACATCTCGAAATCAGGGCTTCAATACCAGACTGCTTGGGGGCCGAGGACTACGTCCCAGGCCCCGAACCACGCATGGAATGGTTCAGTCTCAAAGCGAATCTCAACAGTCCCAGCGGTCCCTTGTCTGGCTTTATCGTTTGTCGTGCATGTTATGAGGATATCGTAATGGCAACTCCTCATCATATCCACTTTCGAAAGTATTGGCGCACGCAACTACCTGACCAGGTGTGGTCCTGCGATGTGGGTCGCGAATGGGGTCGGTTTGTATTTGATCCATTTGTTCCCAACAATCGGGATCTCGGGTGGAATGCGGTTGTAAAGAAGTTAGCTAGCGAATTCGGGAAGGAATGTTACGAAAAGAGTGGCGATCGTTCCGGGGCGTGGTGGAGACTTCGGGGTGACTTAGATGACAATTCACTTGCTGTTTGCGGCCCTTGCTACGCATCGCATATCGCTCCTTCCGACCGAGCCACAGATTTCAAATCCTTATCGTCGTCCGAGTTGCCCTTCTCACCCTCGGACCAAGACCAGCCCTTTCTCTCGTGCGCAATGGGTGATTATCGCCTTCGAATGGCATGGGATATTGTCAAATTTCTGGGTCTTACTACAAGCATATGGTGCAACGTGGCCCTTGTAATTCTCCATTGCGACCCTTGTACTTCTGAGGGTGGAATTGGCCGGAAATGGTACCGAATTACCTCTTTCCCAAGTCTCTGTAATATTTGCCCAGGTTGCTACTATGCAATGTTTTACACTTTCGGATTTGGGCCTCATTTCTCACCCTACCGTGACACTGTGGACCCAGACATAGAAGCAGATTCCCAGCGGAGAGTCTGTGATCTGAATCCCAGCCAGCCACGCTTTCTTCAACTTCTCCGAAAGATTGATGAAGCCGGTGCCGTTGGCAACTTCGATATTCTTCTTCAGTACACCCAGGAAAGGGCAGACTTACCTCCTTGCCCACTTATGCTACCCGCAGACGACAGCGAAAGCAGGATATGGTATGGGAACGGAAACAGCTTCGTTGCCTGCGAGGAGTGTTATTTCGACCTTATTCGTACCAGCCCGTTAGCCCAATACGTGATGCAGTGCGACCCGCGAAATTCCCCGCAGTTTGGGTTTTGCGCATTGTCATCGGATCGCATGAGGAGGCAATGGGCGAATGCTTGTCAATGTGGAGATCCGACGGAGTTCCTGGAGCTCTGTGAGGATCGAGCCTCGGTCTTCGAGGAAACAGTGTTGAAGGCGAGGAGGCTGAAGTTGGAGATTGAAGAACGAGAGCAAGAAGCCATTAATCGAGTAACCCTTGGTTATCATTATTATGGGGATAGTTATGACGGCCAGTTTGAGGAAACAAAAGAGGAGACCGCTACGATGAAGGCGCTTTATCGGCGATGGGCAGGTTGGTATTAGCACTTGTACGAATTACAGGGATAAATTTTATGCAGGCATTCATAATTATGTCAGAAATGCCCAAAAAATGGGTGTACCGCTAGCTCAATACAGTATGCTTTCCAAGGAGCTACTATGGTTGAAGCTCAGCAAGTCATTAATGAAGACCACACTCCGACATCTCGCGCGTCTCGTATACGTATAGTTCGCTGATAAGCTTTCGCTAATAAAACGTCAGCACCAAAAATTGTCGCTCTTTCTTATTTGTCCAGGTGCCTTTGAATGAACAATGTTGAGGGCAATGCGGATGAAACAGTAGATTGAAGAATGAGAGCAGCCGGCAGTGACCAAAAAACACGAAAATCCAGTGGAATGAAAATCCCGTCCCAATGATATCGGCGAGGCCCCAATCGCTCAGCGGATTATGCTCTGCAATACGTGCTTTTACGTAATTATGGCCTGATACCTTGGAATGGCCGGCAAATGATGATTTCCTCAATCCGCTCAGGTATCCTGATCCCAAGATCCCTTTAGCGGTGCGCAATTACATATACGGCATGCTTCTGCAACTGTAACGTGCAATTGATCCACGATATAACTCGGGGGACAAGTAGAAATTAAGGCGCCGTCAACTATTTCAGTAGATATGAAAGATCGTACGATCCGCTGATCCTGGCTCCACAAGAATTTGGATGCAGAATACGAGATTTTGGCTCATGAATGGCACCCAGACAACGATAGGCTGCTTGCAGGAGATTCAAACTGTTAAATCACAGGTACCTTCGGACTGGGCCTGACCCGCCCTCGTGGTGAAGCATATGGAACTTAAGTAAATAGGCTGGCGCCTTTGTTATCGGCACCACTGCAACGAATGCTTTCAGGTTCATTCGGCAAAACGTTCCGTGTATGGTCTTGCGCAAAATCAAGGCAAGCCCATGAGCTCACGCTCTTCGTTTCTCACCCCATACTTTTATTGCCAGGTGCAGATCTCGGCGACTCTAGCTAGGAGTGCTGTTTCTCGTTTTGTTACGAGGGCCACATTGCAACAGCTCAGTTGACCATGGAAGAGGATTTTTCGCTGTCCCACCACCTCGATGAAATGTAGCTATTATGCGCCACGCATGCGATTCTCAAGACCGGATACATCCACTCTCAAGGTGGATCATGATGTATCCAATAATCTATTTTCCATGCACACAACTACCCGACCAAGTGGTTTTGCGATGTGGGTTACAAATGGATTCGATCCATTTGTTCCCAACAACCCGGATCTCTTGGGTGGAATGCGGTCGTGACGAACTTGCACAGTGAATTCAGAATGGAATACCATAAGGAAAGCGAGGATCGTGCCGTTGTGGTGGAGACTTCGGAATGACTTGGACGTCAAATCTCTTACTGTTTGTGACTCGATGTGTTGCTTCTTCCATCGCGTCACGGAGTTAAGTCCTTGTCGCGATTAGAACCACACATCTTGCCTTCGAACCAGGAGTCTCTTCTGTCATGCGCATGATGGTCGCCTCTAAAGGGCTTGGAATACTGTCAAACTCTTGGGTCTTCCCAAGAGCGCATGGCATGATGCGGCCCATGTTGCGAATTCTGTAATTGTATCGGATCTTTTCATCCCTAAGCCTCCGCGATATTTGGTCCTACGGTTACTATGTACGCATGGTTTCGCATTCGCAGAGGGTCTTATCTCTCAACCTGTCGTGGCACTGTGGATCCGGACGTCGGAATAGGCCCGCCACACTTCTTCCCGCTTTTCGACAAGGTCCGTGAGGCCAGTGAGGATCGGTGACTTTGACATTTTCCTCCAAAATCTCTGAGAGTGGACATACGTCCTTGCGCGCGTAAACATCCCGCAGACCACCCCGAGAGGAGATGGTATGGAAACGGAGACACCTTCATTGCCTGTGAAGAGTGTTTTTTCAGCGTCATTCGTGCCAGCCCATTGACCCATTGGCCCATTATGGTGCGACGGGCGAAATTCGATGGTCGGATCACATGAGGGTGAGGCTGCTCCGTGAACATCTGGCATTCTCCTCTTGAGCTTGCGCGTATTGTATGGACATGCATGCAGGGGATGATTCGCGCATGCGTTGGCGTTGCTACACCCGCGGACTGCATGCAACTGCTACATGAAAGACGCAACAGTAGTACAATACACGCTCGCCAGCGCGCGATGCATCAAGCGGAGACCACACGATGAGGAGAAGCGATACCCTTATTCTCGTCCTCATATGAGCGCGCACTATTTAATCTCGACCACAGGAAAATACAGGGGCATGATATGCGGGTCCTTGGGAGCTCTACGCTGAGGTCCCCGGAGGGACCGAGATGAAGGGAACGGTAAACAACCAAGCCGTACCCGCTACAATGGGACTTTTACGATAGAAGAGGATTTGGAGCTGCGGAAGGGAACGCCAAACTCACTGCCGAGAGGTGGCCAACTGTCCATTTCAAGCAGGAAGTTGGGAGGCAGATAGATTACCGTTCAATTGCCGTACGTGTCCGCCCGCGTGCGCATGAGCACCTCATCATTAATAAAATACAGGCTGGTAGCCTGCCCAGGGAGGCGCGACACTGATGCGAGGGCCTTAATATAGTAAATCTATGTCAACAACTGCCAACACTGATTGAATTGCAGAACTCCCGGAAACAGCCTGGATCATTGCCAACCTGCTCACCAATATCTGTCTCTGTAAGTCCCTAAACGCCCAAGGAACGAGCAGGTGTGCCGACAAGTTTTCTGATACCTCTCTTACGCCTGTAACTGCTAACAGTTACCACTAACAGCACTCCTGGGACCCTGAGACTCGCATCCCCTAATCAGCCCCACATTCCCTGGGATGGGTCAATCTCTGTCGAGGCGACGATCTGACTTGAACCTTCGGTCTCAAAGTCTACCTACATCCGAAACTTCACCAGATGGTAGGCCCAATGATTCTCTCCCCACAAGTGCCTCTCCACCACCGCCGAAACAATCTCAGAATGGCGCTTCCTCAGCCGCTGACGAGGCTGGTTGGGATTCTGAACGAGCCATGAATCGGCGGAGAAGTGTGTCACACTCGGGCACTGTTGGGCCTAGTCAGGTAATCCCACGGCCAAAAATAAGAGAGCGTGCATCATCGATGCGGGCTGCGGCCAAACGTCGCCTCAGCAGCATAATTCCGAAGCGCCTCAGTACTGTCCCACGCGCGACACACAAAGCTTCTGGACCGATCCCTAGCGCTGAACCTGCCATTTCCTCGACGAGAGAGACATCAATACCCCTGATTCCGCCTGCCTCGCCTGTTCCACCTGGTGATGCAAAAGATGAATTCCGGGCAGCAGACATGCGTGAACGGGGCGACGACGGATCGATACGAACGAAAGAACGCAATGCTGAGTCCGCGGGTGACTACTCACCCGAACATTCAATTCCTTCGTCAGGCAGTGGAGTCGGCTTTGCCAGTTCTGGTGTTCGCATTTCTGCGCCAGCCTGGGGGGAGTCATCCAGTTCAAACACTTCTGTAACTGAACAGCCGTCTTCATCCTCTCATCCACCGTCTCCCACTTTGAATGGCTCTATGAAGAACACGAAAGGCAAGGGGAAAGAGAAAGAAGTCGTGAACGACATCCCGGTGGAACCACCCCAACCGAACTTTGTCACAGAGCCCACCGTTATTCACAATGAAGATCTACTCAGAGAAGAGCGAGCTGATGGCACGGGGAGCATTCCGGCGACTTTACCTGAAGCCAGCGCTGCATTGGGCCCCGAGACCATTGGTGCTCTTCCAGGTGGTGGTTCGATTCCTCCAATTCTCGGCGACGTTTCCCTCTGAATCCTCTCCATCCACGTCCACTAGCCACTGGGGCGCCTTTCATGTCATCTGGCTCGCTACCTATCTCTCCATCCACTCCTCGTCCGACTCATCATCATCATCACCATCATCACGGCGTTATCACTCAAGGAACGCAAATGATAGTACAAGGTAATATACTCAATGATTCACTTTTATACGGTACACTTAGTTCAATCAACCCCTTAGGTGTTGTGCAAACATCAGATTTAGCACGTGGGATGCATCAATCTCGAACTGAGTCAAGTCTGCGGCGGGGTCGACGACTACCCAGACCTGCCTCAAGTCAAAGCAGGCGGCCTCATTCTCTCTTTTCTCCGGACTCCACCTCCTCGTCCGATAATGAACGCAACACTGAGTTGGATGCTCCCCCAACTTCTGCATCTGACCCTGCAAATGACGGTATGGAAGGCATTGAGGTACTTACGATGCTTCTGGGGTAAGACTTGCCATCGCCTTAAACAACTTGCCCTTATCATCGTTTATTCTTATTCAGTGTGGTGACCGCAGCGACAGGTGCTTCACTCATGAATGGCACGACTGCTCCAGATCTCTCTTCAGTGTCAAATGTGGTTCGCTCTGATGATGCTCCCTTGGCCAATGCCGAGGCCTCAACCATCTCCCACCCCCCTCTGCCAATCCCTACGACTCTGCCACAGGGTGCGAATGCGGTCAGTTCTCCGTCTTCATCTCCGAGTCGACCTCGGCATTTCTTGCGAAATATGCGATCCCGACTGCTGAGTAGGCTTCGTGACCGACGTTCCCATGCTGCCAGTCGCCCAAGCGCTGGCGAACAGTTGCCGGGCCACATGCCCGCAGACACCGAAACAAACGGCCCAAATTCCACCCCGATTGTCGTGGATCGTGGATCTGTCGACGAGGCTGAACAGCTTGCCGCACTTCGCGCCAACATCTCTCAACAACTTACGCGAGCACTGGCAAGACATGCCGCCGAGAGACACGCTGGTTCTTCCACGAGCACTCCCTTCAGGAGCGCCAGCCCCACAAGCCCTGAGACGCCAGGGTCAGTTGATCCGGCGGGTGTCCCACTTCCCCCAGATGACTCTTTGAGTATATATGAACGACCCCCTTCCCCCGTGGCGAGGGCTCAAGGTTCTCCCGTGACTCCGAGAACGCCTGCGATACTCACTGGCCCATCGGAGCCTATCACTCCACCTCCCCTCAACGAACAAAGCTTTGAAGCTTTCCTAAATGATATACAGACCGATCTTCGTGCGACCTTGATGCGTCGCCACGAGCAAGAACGTCGGGTAAGGGAACTCAGGGAGCGTATGGAGCATTCTAGCTCTTCGAGGCCTCTCTCCGTTCCACGTATCCCGGCGGCGCCGTCACTGATACCTGATTTGGAATCACGGGAAAGAACTGGTCCTGATCGGAGTTCATTCACACTGCCGCCAAACTATCATCTCACGGAGCATGTCCCAAGTGTGAGTTCTTGAACATTGCCACCCAGTCATCTATTGATCTATGAACGTGATTGTGCCACAGGTCGACACGCCCTTGAATTGGTGGAGAATGTTCAGGTTCCCCCCTCGAACTATCCAAGCTTCCCCTGGTGTTAACTTAAACCCAAATAACGCGAATCCGTTGAGTGCTTTGCGATCTTTGGCGGCGGGACAGCCTTCTATTCCAGGGCCCGGTCCATCATCACCTGCGACCACTCACGTTCCTTTGACCACATCCCCTTTTCCGGTTTCGCCACCTATAACTCCAGGCACTACTGTGCCGCCGTCCGCTCCTTCTGAGAGTACCACGCTTACACCGGTGTTGATCGTTGGTCTGCGGCAACAAAACACACAAATTATTGACGATGATACTGATGATGAAGCCCCTTCTGATTTGCCGATGTATGCACCTGCCTCTCCTTCATCTCCATTTGCGCCTCGTAGCGATTTTTCTACTACTTCAACCTCGTCCCTTCCTCCTGCACCTAGAGCTTCTACATCTTCAGATACCACAGTCCGCCATCCACCGAGGACCAGTCTATTCCCTCATCGCCGAACTTCATCCGACAGTTACCGCGAGCTTAGTGAAATGATTCGGAACACACCGACCTCACCACCAGCTGATCTCCAGTCAGAGGTTGAAGCTACATATGGTGAAACGTGGAGACAAAATCTACGTGCTTTCCTCGCATCGGCTCTTGCTCGCGGAGCGATAGAACGCGCCCGTGAGGAACGAGCCGCGCGCAGGGAAGAGCGACGCCTCCGTGAGGCTGAAGCTCAGCAGGCACGCGAGAGTTATGTCATTTGGGTGATTGGAGGCTATTACCCTGAAAACATGTTGGGCGCTCCGAACCTGTTGTTGGGGCAGTTTGATCATGATGACTTTTGGGCGCTGGCCGAATTCCTGGGACAAGTAAAACCTCCGGTTGCCACTAGAGAGGATATTGAGAAAGCTGGTCTTGAAGTAATCAAAAAACAACAGCTGGCTGAGTATCTTAAGGGAGATAAAATTGCGCCAAATACCAGTGATCGGGTTTGGACAACAGTCATTGACACTGCATTCGTTCGCTTATGCCTTATTTTCATCTAGTGCCTTATTTGCCTGTCTGAGTATGAAGACGATGAAGAGGTTCGTATCATGTCATGCAAGCATGGCTTCCACAAAGACTGTGTCGATAAGTGGATGGAAGTGGGCCGTAACAATTGTCCGGCCTGCCGTACGAAGGTGTGTCATCCATTAATCTGCAGCAATACACCTCGTTCTTACTCGCATTCAAGGGTGTTCCGACAGAAAACACTTCTACTTTAGCAAACAACTCTTCACCCTCTGCTGCGTCATCAGCCTAATCACACCCGTTCTCTCCCCTTGCGTGATATTATCTTTCATCTCCGATCTTCGTCCTTCTTGAAACCCCCTTCTGTTTGGTGTCCGACTTCCATCGTTTTAATACCCGTAAAATCCAATAAATTCGCTCTCACTCCTTCGGACTCGTACTGGCTCCTAAACTGTAGCATTAGTAATATAACGATGATAGTTTGCAACCAGGAGTGCGTGACAGGCCAGCCTCTATTATTATAGTGTAGAAATGGAGGCCGGCACCCTTGTAGCTCGCCTGTATCAGATTGATCGAGCAATTGATCGAGCAGGGTTGCATAAATGTAAACAAGGGGGCCAACATGATAATCCAAAGCCGAGATGACCTGCGGACCAATTCTTATTCACACGAGTGCCGTTATCCGTGACACTCGATGTTCGGACGCATCCGTGTCCGTGCTGATATCGAGAGATTCATCTTGGGTTCATCATCAGTCTGGCTTCGATTTCTGGTCGATTTCTTCTAACCCTTCGAATACCCCCTACTTCCCGCACTTTACCCTGTTATCTAAGGTCCATGTCTGCGAATGAGGCCCGTCCCCTTAAGAGACAGAAAGCAAATGCGAAAGTTCCACTGATAGGTACTCATAATGGAACTTTCCATTGCGACGAAGCCCTGGCAGTTTTCTTACTGCGGCAGCTTTCTGCCTATAAGAACTCAAGTAAGGATTTTATTCCTTCGATCTAGATTCAGAAGGGCTTATGCCGTGTTTCTCGCACTTGCTCCAACGCCTCCCCACCTGGCAGACTTGCTTCGATCACGCGATCCGGCTAAGCTGGAAGAATGCGACATCGTCGTGGATGTAGGTGCAGTCTACGATCCAGAAAGGTTTCGATTCGACCATCATCAACGAGAGTTCTCTGAAAACTTTGGATATGGTTTTGTGACGAAGTTGTCATCGGCGGGCTTGATATACAAGTAAGGGATGAATGTCAGGGTCTCGCCATCTTCGATTCCTATTCCTCTCCCATATTTAGGCATTTCGGGAAACAGATAATTGCTGAGCGGTTCAGCTACAGTGTCCAAGATCCGATTGTGGAGGTGTTATATTTAAAATTGTACAAGGTTTGTTTCACATGGACTGACCCGCGGCGCTCGTTACGACCAATCCTGTAGGACTTCATCGAGGCAATTGATGGGGTTGACAATGGCGTTAATCAATATCCGACAGATGTCAAGCCCTTGTACAAGAATAATACGGACTTGTCCCGTCGCGTAGGGTATTTGAATCCTGCTTGGAACGAGAAAGTAGATGTGGAAGGTGTTGACGTAAGTGAAACAAGCGTCCCCTCTTCCGGGCGTTACAAACCGTGCTCTCTCCAGACGAGATTCGAAAAGGCTTCGCTGTTGACCGGGACGGAGTTTCTGGACCGCTTGGATTACTATGCAAAGGCATGGTCACCAGCCCGAAAGCTCGTTGAAGAAGCCTTCTCCGGGAGGACAGAAATCCACGCAAGTGGGAAAATTATCCTCTTTGAGCAGTTTGCTCCGTGGAAGGTTTGTACATACATGTCGCATTCTGCAACTCACCGGGGTGAATTTCTGGCAGGAGCACCTCTTTGACCTTGAAGAAGATCAATCCCTTTCACCTGCGGATAAGCCGTACTATGTAATCTATCCGGATGAAATTGCAGGAAGCTGGAGGGTTCAAGCTGTGCCTGTGGCCCCTGGGAGCTTCGATAGCAGAAAGGCTCTACCAGAGAAGTCAGCACCTTTGTCCATTTGCTGTGCTCGAATTAGTATTTCCATCTCATTCGTCTATTGCAGATGGCGCGGACTACGGGACGAGAAGCTATCTGAGGTGACTGGGATTCGGGGATGCCTTTTCGTCCACGCGTCAGGCTTCATCGGTGGTAGGTATACTATTGGTCTGAATAATATCCGAATTATGATCTACGCTCATGCACTTAGGAAACCGAACAAAGGAGGGTGCAATTGAGCTCGCTATCAAGGCTTTGACTGCGACGTGAACCACTGAGTCACATAACTTTGGATATTTCGCCAACTATACCTTGCCAAGCCAGTATGAAGAGGTCGAGTAGTACCAAGCAGTAGGAACATCTCAGGTGAAGCCAGGAATATATATTTTGGTGCACCTTTTGGAACTGCGAAAGGGGCGATCTACAATTTGAAGGAAACATAGTCTAGTAGATCAAAGAAGACATGTCAGCGCGAATACGATTGTAGTCGAGCAAGCCCTCAATACGACCAAGTGCTGCGATGGCAATCTATGATTTAGTCCGTCAGGGCTTGGGTCTACGGGAAATAGAGCAGCTATGATTCGCTTACATCGTTGTCCCAGATATACTTCTGGGCAACACGCTTTATGTCCTCGGTGGTGACGCCGTTAACCTCATTTTCGATCTGCTTGGGCGTATACCGTCTGCCACTTGTCACAAGCTGTCTTCCGATATCTTCCGCAATGGCAGTCGTCCCGTCCAGACTGAGTAACAAGCTAGCTTTGAGCTGACTCTTGGCGCGTTCAACTTCAGCAGGTGTAGGGGCAATGCTCATCCTGGTCCACTCGCGGAGAGTGAAGTGAACAAGATCGTCAATGTTCATCAGGTTCTCAGTGACGAGGTAAATGCCCCACAGGCCTGTGTCTGAGTACGAAGTTGAGAAGGACAGGTATGAGTTGGCAAGGTTGTTGCTCGAGACAATGTGGCTCAACCTCGATGATAGAAGGGGGCTGCCGCCAAGCGATCGATCCCAGTTCCCGAAAATGGATTGCAGGGTGAGCATTGGGAAGTAGTCAGGCGAGCGCCAACCGACGCCCTCAACCGCAATAGCAATATTGGCAGTGTTCATTGTATCATCGCGGATACGTACTTCGGAGCCTGTGAACTTCGTATTGGCGTGAGAGGAGCGGTCGAGTGGAATCGGGTTAGGCGAGACAGGCAACGAAGCGAAATGCTTCTCGGCGAGCTTGACAAGCTCGGAGTGCTCAACACCACCGGCACCAGCAAGAACCATCCGGTCTGCAGTGTAATTCTTCTGGATGTAGGAGGAGAGATCATTTTGCTTTATGGAGAGAATGTTTTTCTTCGGACCAAGAATTGTGCGACCCAGAGGTTGCCCTGTTTGGATGGCGTCGGTACAAGGGCCTCAGATCCAGATGTCAAGAATCGTGCGAACCTTGGAAGGCAACAGCATGAAGATGGTCGAAGACGACTTCCTCATGTTGTTTGTCAACTTCCTCCTGTTCCCTCAGAATCACATCACGCTCCCTCTCAATGGCAGATGTCTCCAGCTTTGAGTTCTGCAAAATGTCGCTTATGATGTCTACGGCAGTGGGTACGTCTTTGCGAAAAGACTTGGCATAGTAAACGGTTTGCTCGCGGGAGGTATAGGCGTTGAGGTGGGCGCCTAAATTTTCCACCTCAAGCTCGAGAGCATGTTGCGAACGACGGTTTGTCCCTTTGAAAGCCATGTGCTCCAAAAAGTGGGCCGTACCGTTGGTGGCGTCTGTTTCTGCTCGGGAACCGGCATCAATCCACACACCAACAGTGGCAGTTTGAGCGGAGGGGTGCGCTTCGGTTGCCACTGTCAAACCGTTAGATAGCCTCGATATCTCAGTAACAGGAGCATTAGTAGCTGCATTCACAGCCGTCGCTAGCAAACGAATCGAGTGCTGGAGATAAATACCGGAAAAGATTAAGCGTACTGAAAACTCAAATGAATCATTAAAAAGGGCACCTGTCTCGCAACTGAGCCCCTGACGCCACGTCGTAACGACGAGGAGAGGACTCGGGAGGCCATTGCTGAGTGGTGAGAAAGTTGACCGGTGTTTCTTCTATTGTAACACGTGATAGATTTACGTAATAATCTTCCACACGACATTCATTGTGCACACCTTGCCTCACGTCACTTATTCACTAATGTCTTTCAACGACTTCGACATCGAAAGAGGGACGGGGGGCACTCGGATTGCCCCACCTCCCTCTGGTACTGACTTCCAGTTCACCGCTCTACAGTCCTCGCTTTCCATTCAAGTCTTCAAGATAAACGCCAATGTTCAAGGAATACTCAAGCTTGTAGACCAGCTTGGCACCGGAAGGGATACGCCTTCTGTGCGAAACGCCCTGTCCGTTTGTGCTGTGCCTTAGCAATGCGTGGCTGAACTGAGTTATGCCTGGTCCGTCTCTAGGCATAATCTAACTGAAGCGACTCGAGATATGGTCAAACGGGGTTCGGAAGACCTGAAGAGACTCGTATCCCTAGGGCAGGCATTAGTACGAAGCCTTCTTTTGGACCGTTTTATTTCCGTACTTATGTGTTGTTTTAATGACTGCGTGCGCAGCCTCACCAAAAGACGCTTGTGCAGAAGACATCTCATGATATGCAACTATCCCTCGTTGCCTTTCAGAAAGCGCAGAGAGTCAGCGCAGAGCGACAGCGGACGGTAGTAGAGGATACGAAGCGTGATCTAGACTATGAAACCACAACAGCTGAAGATTAGCACGTCCCTCTAGTCCTCTGTGAATGCTCTTATTTCATTCATTGAACCCTTCGTCTAGCCCCGAACCCGGTCCATCCCAGCAAGTCCAACAGCAACAGCAGCAGCAGCAGCATATACAACAGTATGTGCATTTTCATGCCTAGCCGTCCCGCACCTTTCATCCCGTGGCTTACTAGGCAAACTATATCTCCTGCCGAATTGGCATTCCAAGAATCACTCATTCAAGAACGTGAAGGCGAGATTCGTGAAATTGAATCAGGAATCCATGAACTTAACGAGATTTTCCGAGACCTCGGGACGCTTGTCACCGAACAAGGAGAGATGCTAGGTACGTACTTTATGCCTTATGTTGTGCACTCTAAACCCTCTTTCCAGATAATATCGAGAACAACATTACTTCCGTCGCACGCGATACTCATGGTGCCAACGAGGAGCTCGGCGTTGCTTCAGAGTATCAGCGGAAGGCGGGTCGCCGTGCCGCATGCTTGTTAATCGTCGTTGCTATCGTCATTTGTGTGGTTTTGCTCGCTGTAAGTGACTTTGGTATTTGGTATACTGAATTCCGTTGACTTTAGCAGCTAGATTCTCTCATAGTCCACATGTCAACACGATGGTCTGAAACGTTATTACTATTTGTTGTGTTGCATGTAGATACCCTATATGTCACTATTCTTTTTTACTTCCGAACGGACAAGACAATTCATTGCAATTACGCGGTGCTGCACTGACCGAACAAATGGAACCCTTTCACACCGTGCGCGTCACTTACATCCCAATTGCGAATCACTAACCCAATGACTCCCACCGGCACAACGGTAGCCACCGTTCTGCTTGATCCAACGGAAACCGGCAACACACACTCCCATCTGGCGCAGTTTATGTTGCACCTTACTTTCCTTCTGTGCCTCCTCGCGCATCTTCTTGAGAGCGGATTCTGACTCGGCGATTCTAGCTCGCTTGGCAATCGCCTTAAGCCGAAGCTGCTCTGCGCGAAGACGAGTGGCGTCTTTCAAGGCTTTGTCTTTCTGAGAGTTTTGGTTTTCCTCCAGACGTTTCGCTGCCTTCATCGCTGTTTCTTCAAGGTCCCGTGCTTCCTCTTCGTCCCTTGATCGCTTCTCCTCCAGGTCACGAAGAGCTTCCTCTCGTTCGGCGGCGGCTTGTTTGTCTCGCACCAACTGACCCCAGGTGACATCACTGACCCCAGGATCCCTCTCCTGGACATCAGACTCTGTATCCACGGTTTTCGGTTCGTTGGGGGCTGGGGGCACTGACCGGGGAGCCTTTGAATCTCTAGAAGCAGAGCTGTCGCACGGCGGCGCAGGCGCGTTCTCTTGCAAGGGCATGGGCGATATGGGTGGTCGGATTGGAGGAGCGGTGGCGTGGGGAATCCTGTCCTGACACCGAGAAACCATTGAGTTTAACATGTCGTCCATGAGGGTAATGACTGTAGACAATGGTATTTTCAAGTCTTGAGCGCCCGGATCCCCATTCCATCCCAGCAGTGCTTTGGATCTGATGCGCTTCGCCAGCGTTTTTACATCACGAGCGTTGCCCCACTGAGGCAGAGATGCTAAAGCAGAGAAGTGCTCAATTAGTTGCAATCCCCCGTCCATGTCGGGTGGATAGTGGATTTGGACCTGTGCGCCCTTGAGCTCCCCGATGAGCAGTTCGGCACATTTTTCTGGTGACAGGGGATAAAATGTGATCTCGTCTGTTATGCGGCTCGCCAGACCCGCGTTCGCGCCGAGCAGTCTATTGATGTCGTGCTCATAGCCGGCAAGTATGACAATCAGCCGCCCTTGATACTTCTCCTTTGTTAAGCAATCCACTATCTCGTCGATAGCTTCTTTCGCAAACTGTCCGTCGCCTAGTCGGTAAGCCACATCAATGAAGAGAACCTGAATGCGATTTCCATAAAGCCAACATCAGTCTCGATATCATGGGCGCCCCACTGACCTTCCCCAGCGCCTTATCAAACATGTCCCGTGTTTTAGGCGCGGTATGCCCTACGTACTGGCCAATAAAGTCCGAAGCTGAGCACTCAACGACTTCGGGAGACGAAAGAAAACCCATGTCATAGTAAACTTGCCCTATCTTCCGCGCCACGCTAGTTTTTCCTGTCCCTGAACCATAATAAAGAGACAGAACCAAATTTAGCCACAAGGTGAGGTTCTGTGCGTCGAAGATCTTTTTACCTGGAGGACCCCTAAAAACAAAGGATGTCGGCACCTCGGAACGTGAATCCCTGCCTCGACCTCTTGTCAGCTGACAGATACGCTGGATTTCTCGAAGCTTCTCCACAATCACGTCCGAACCGACCATCCCTCGGAACAAAGTTTCTAGGTTTTTCTCTGCACTATCCGAGCGGTCGAAGTCGGGGTCAATGTCTTCTGGCTCCAGTATGATATCGATTGGACGCTCAGAGGGCTCAAGGTGAGATTGTCGATTCTGATAGTGTAGTTTAGCCTTCCCAAGCATATTATCCACCTCACCAGCGTTCCCAAAGTTAGGGCGAACCCGAGAACGCTCTAGCATCTCAAGCGCCACAGACTTCGCTTTCGGAGTCGCAATTAGGTCTTGTTCTTTCAACTTGAGATCCAGGATTTGTGCAAGTTCCTCCTTGGTGAAGTCGGAAAAGACGAATGCGTCGTCAATTGCGAAGCGACGTGAGAGCCCAGGGTTGACATGCTGACAAGATCCAACAATAAGCGGACCGATATTCCGACCAGGACGCGTGAGCTCACCTGGAACATTTCCTGCATCTGATCCTTGTAACCTAACATCAATACACAACGATCCTCTCCAGGATTTGGCTGGATCTCAGCCACGATAGTATCGATGACCGCAGTCTTGAAGCTATTAGACCATCCCCTGTTCTTCTCGTATAGGCCATACGCTTCATCGATGACAAGCACCTTTCCCCGACTGTTCGCCAAGATACCCTTGGTTTTCGCCTCAGACGCCCCAATCACATCGCCAATGAAGTCAGCCGGCGTCTTCACCATCACTGGCAGGATACAGAAACAGTCAGTGGGTTCATCATATGTGCATCCCAGTGCACCCACCTTCCCCGTTGGATAACATCCCTAGGTCCACCAGGACCTGGCCGTAGACTAATCCATTCCCCGTACTCAGCTCCGTCACAAACGTGCAGACAAGTGAACCTACGTTTGGCGACTGTAGTCTTCCCCGTCCCAGGATTACCTAAAAAGACACGGTGCAAGGATGTTTGAACCAATGCCTTCTCCGCAAGTTCGCGCCCATAGTTGGTTTGGATGGTGTCGATGAGACTTTTGAGTGTGGTCTTGACATCCGCCAAACCAATCAAGCCTTGTAGTTTTTCCCATGCCTTGCTAGTCTTCACAGCCGCATCAGGCCTCGGACCAATGAGATCGGTTTGTGTAAACAGAAAGTCGTCAGGGCGGTTACCTTCGCGCCGCTCGCGTGTGATGCGCTCAGCTTGGCGCTGCTTAACTCGATCAAGTAGCGTGGCGACGTCACGGGCATTTCCAAACCCATCCCTTCCCCGCGATGCTGCGAGTCTCCGAATGGCGATACGTACATAAAGCCCAGCATCACCTCCTTCAATAGACATTCTCCCCGAATACCTCTTGGAGACTTCGTGGATGAAGATTCGTATTAGTTCGTGATCTTCATAATCTTCAAAGAGTATTGAATATGGAATGCGAGATGGTAGGCCGGGGTTGGCCTCAAAGAACTTCTCCATATTAGATTTGTATCCAGCAAACAAGAAAACGATCTTGCCGATATTATCCAGCATCAGAGTGAGGAGGTTATCAAGAACAGCACGTCCGCCCGGATTATGAGCATCTGTAAGCTGGTAGGCCTCATCAACGAAAATTGTCCCGCCGCCCGCTTTCAAGACCTCATCGATTGCCTTCTTCAGCCCAGGAATACCTTCATGTGCTAAGCTCGAACCTGAAGTCTCGTGGAAATGAGTCCCTGGCAAGATGTTCATGGACGATAAGAACTTGGAATATAATCTAGCGATCGTTGTTTTCCCTGTAACGAGAGGGAGTATCTATCATTATCCATTCACGAGGGTTTGGGACCAACTTACCAGTTCCGGGGTTGCCCAGAAAGGCGGCGTTAAGATTCTTCTTCTCCATTGAGATGCCCTGCCGCAAACTTACTTCTAACTCCGCTTTGAGGCCAAGTACGTGCCCCTTAACCTTTTCCAATCCGATCATACCCATGATCTCATCGATATGCGGGTTCTTGGCCCCTTCGATGCTTTTCTGGCGCTCCCATTCCTGCTGGGATGCAGAGGGTGCCACTTTGGCGGCGGATTCATTGTTTTTCGTCAGACTTAGCTTGGACCCGAAGATGGACGTCGGTGCTATCGACGAGATAATGGAGGAGATAGAATCTCTTAGGTTGAATGGATTCGTTGATGAAGCAGCTGGCGCCGCAGGTGGGTCCGGTGCGGGTGGACCTGTCACAGGTGGTTGACTGCGAGAAGAGGCTTCCTGTATGTCCTGTCGTTTCTGCTCCAGGGCTGCAGCTCGTTCTTGGGTAGCTTTTTGAGTTTGTGCAGCCCTTAACTGTCTTTCGAGCTCCGCATCAAGCTCAGCCATGTTCTCATCATGAGCAGCTTGTTCGGCTGCCCGGTTGGCGGCTTCTTCTGTCTGCTTCTTCTGGCGCTTGCAGGAAGGACAATTTGCGATCGCGTTTTTATCGTAGCATTCTTTGTGGACCTTGTGATCTTTCGTGCATTTCGTGACGACTTTTGTTCGGCATTTAATTTTGGAGTGGTCAACTAACTGGTGACATTTCGAGGGGCAAGGGTGATTCCCGCAGTTCAAAATTTTCCCACTGGGTAACGAGTCGTAAAAATCGAATCTTCAGAATAAGAAGTGAGTCTCACCATGGTTCAAGACAACCGCCCTCGGGCGAATATATCTCAAAGTCTCCAGGCGAGCGAAGTAAAGCTGCTCGATCTGGATGACGGGAACACAGCACCGGTAAACCATCATACAAGTTATTCCCTTCCTGCAAGAGCCGGAAAAAGGGTTCCCAAGTCTCTGATCCCTTGCGAGAGTGCCGAAATGTGTTCGAATTGCCAATCATGATCAAACCATCGCGAGCGCGAGAGAGGAGAACGTTCAATCGCTCTGGTGCAGACATAAATCCGATATCATGCTTCTTATTGCTTCGGGTCAAACTTGCGACAACGATTTCGCTCTCCTCTCCCTGGTAATTATCTGGCCACTCCCATTAGGAGGGGTTCTTGTCATAAAATGTACGACGTACCGATTGTGGCCAGACGAACCCGTTTCTTTGCTGCCTTCGCCGTCGCTTCAGTCATCAGACCGGCCTTAACAAGATCGTATGAGTCAAGATCGTTCAATACAGGGTCGTGAGTCTTCGATAACAAGTTTCGCAGCAAGCTCAGTTGTCCCAAGTACGGGGTCAGAATGACAAGTTTGTCCGTTCCATATCCTTGCTGACCGAGGTATTTGACGATTTTCAAGACCATATCGGCCTCGAAGGAGTTGGCCTTGCTACGATCCTCGTTTTGATCTTGACCGCCTTCAGGATGGTGATGATCGATGAAGACCACGTTCGCCTGGAGACCCCGAACATCAGGACGTCCGGACGTCTTCGGTGCGTCTAAGAGACCAGGGTATGTCATTTCACGAACGAAACGTGATATTTCCGGACGCATGCGGTGTTGCGCCTGAAGTGTATGGTGAGGGTAGCCTTTGAGAACAAGGCGTTCGAATAACGATCTGTTCAAATCGTACCCTTCCCCCTTCTCGACAGTCAGTTTGTAATCATTCACTTTCGGCCGTAACTGCTTATGGTCGCCGATCAAGATCGTTTGGTGTATCGAGCCCCCCATAGCACTAATGATGTGACTCTCAAGAATCTCTCCCGCCTCCTCTACGAGCAGCACATCTGGAGACGAGGCTTTGATGTCGTCTCGGTATTTTGCGGCGCCCGTCGTAGTTGCTGCGATGATGCGTTTTGTATTCATAACGGCAGCATGTCCCCGCGAAAAGACAGCTTCCTTTCTATCTATTGCCTCGTCGTGTTGAACGATCATCTTGCTAAGTTGCTGAACTTCTTCCCTAAGCAGTACGTCAAACCATTTGCGCAATATTTCTTGTCGTTGGGGCGGGGGAAGACTCCAAACTCGACCATAAGACTCGATATGAGGATGAGACGAAAGAACTCCAGCATCCCTTCCAGCCTTCCATTGTTTAAGCAAGTAATCGCGACCGATCGTCTTTCCTCCAGCAACCGTTTGCATTCCGTCATCGCTGGCTGGGAGACAGAACGCCCGGTAATACTCTGGGTCCTCGAATTCCAAAAGCTCAAGAAGGGCTTTATCAGATGGCGTTGAGTTCATGTGCCAATCACTGGGGAACGCTCTGGGAATCGACTGTCTGAGATTCCCGACGTCGTGTTCTGCTCCCCTGATGTCGCCCCAGTCGTTGGGAGTACGCTTGTAAGTCCTTTTCGCTTCATCGTGAAGATTAAGCTTTTCCGTCGCGGGGTTCGCTTTTCCTCCAAGCCTCGCAATCTGTTGTGATGGGATCCCGATCTTCATGAGATCTTCCAGAAACTGATCGAGCGCATGATTGGTGTAACACACAACAAGAATTCTCTCATTGGTGTAGGAATAAAGGGCTTTTACCAACAAGGCACCAATAAACGACTTTCCCGTCCCTTCACAACAAATGGCTACGGTAAGTTTCGTGGCGAAGGGCACGCAATACAACAAAACCTACCTGGTGGTCCTTGGATCAGGCTTAATCTCTGCGAAAGGCTAGCGATGAAAGAAGCACTCTGAGAGGCATCAAGCGTCACTGGTTTATCCAAGGACAGAGCAGACTTCAAACACCCAGGATCGAGGCGAAGACGGTGAATGAGATTGCTGACATGTGAAAAGGAAGTGGGTTCCCGGAGTGGCCTTCCAGGATACCACTGGAGAATTTCTTCCTCCAACACAAGCTGGGAGGGGAGCAATCGTTGAAGTGACACCAGGATTGGCTCGTAAGCGAAGACAGCGCAGTCAATAAAAGCTAATTTGGCGTTCTTGCTCGTCTTCAAAGCAAAGAAGGTCCTTGCAGCGACTTCTTTATCATCCAATCCAACGACCAAAACAGGTGGGTACTTCGCTAGTTGGTCTTCCTCGCGGTAAAGTGTAGGGAACGATAGAATGCGATCCTCGACTATGAGGCAAGTGAGGGACAAGTGTTTGGCGAAATTTCGGTTTTCTCGGAGATAGGTTTTCCTCTTTTTGGGATCATCGCCGACCTTCTTAAATTGCCCGAGATCAGTCTCGCAGAGGAGTTTTATCCCAATTTTCCCGCGTTCTCCACCATTCGGAATGAACAATCCGTCGAAGGTAACTGGAACTGCCACACTCCGACGCCAGCCTTTCTTCTTCCCCAAAGCAATCTGGGTTTCTTCACGAATTTCACCGAGCATGTCTTCCCGAAGCAGGCCAAACTGATTGTCAAAATGGATCTGAGGATGAATCTCGTTGTCCCGGTCGTTGTTTAAGTAAGTCGCCTGCCGGAGAAAAGGTGGTTGGACACTCTCTAGCTCATCATGAGTAGGAAGGATGGCGATCTTGCGAAAATCGGCATGATCGTTATCGTGACGACCCCCCGCCTCGTCATCATCGGCGTCAGGTGTTGCACGGAGGTGTTTGATGCTGTAGCCGTACCTGCGCGCTTCTGGAGATTTCGATTTTAACAGGCGATCGATGACGACGGTATCCTCCGCAGCGGCGTGGTAACACGCGCGGTCGCCGAGCTCAGGGGAAGGTACTGTTAAAACCTGGACCAAGATCCACCCAACGGCGGCCTCGCCATCAGCATTAAGTGCTCCTTGCTTAAGCGTGTTGAGGATCGCGTTCCAGAAAACAGTGGGATGAAGCAGGCGTCCGATGACTCGACCCAGATAACTGCCACCATGAATATTGGAAAGTGCGGGGCTGGAGAGGAATAAGCACAGCTTGCTGACAGGATCGTTGAAGAAGTCAGGCGTAGCTTCGGAAAACAGAGCAGTTTGTAGGGCATTGAGACCAGTCTGATTGCGGGAACATAGACGCTCCACGCAACTCACAACGTCGGACTGTGAATATATTGCTTCAAGGAAAAGGCGAGCATTCTCTTCCTTGACGAGTGCTTTTCCAGAGCAAACGTCATCATAGACTTTGGAAAGTCTCGCCAAACGTCTCGAGTTGGCCATTGTTAGGCGTCAAGACCACTAACAGGGGCTTTATGGCGATTCCCCGCCGTATATAAGGGATGGGAACTGTATTGGAGAGTAGCATGTTGGTGATTATTTGTACAATGACCTCTGCGTATCAGGGTCCGCAGTCGACCAATGAGCGGACTTTGGGCAGGGTTTTACAGGTAGAACACAGCAACGTAATCGGAATACATGAGGCAGTGAGAGATGGACGGTACAGTCACAGCACCCGCATGCATCAGGGGAGTCGCCTTTACGCTGGATAATTTGGTTGCATTGGGGGGCGACGGGGTTTGAAGGAATTTACCAAACTAGGCAATTTACAGTTTCCAAACACAGATACCAACTGAAATAAACGCGAATCCATTCAATTCCAACTCGGACCGCAAATTGAAAAGATCCGCCATTCATTCAGTACAAGGCAACGTCCGCATACAATGTTACGAAGTCAGGCTGGAGTCCTGCCTATTCAGCTGTACTTTCGGGCTCCCCCTTGTAACTGCTTCAGTTCCCCGATTGAATCCTCGCTCGTAAGTTTGTGCGTTAGTAAGCATCAGAAGGCGACGTTGGCCACCCATGGCTTGATGAGCAGCAGGTAACCATGAGCAAAGACGTCGTTTCTGTCATCGATGACGACGTGATCGAGACCTTGACAGTGATGTTGTTGAATGTCGTGGCGTACTGCATTGTATATCTACATCGGAATATCCAACGACCGACGCTCGTATTGTTGACCCTTGGGATCATGTAGAAACTAATGAGCCAGAGGCAAAGCCGTAAAGGAACGACGCATGTAGACATCTGTGAATAATGCGCTATTCAGAGAACGGCGGTTAAGCACAAGCCCTGCGAGCCAATGAGAGTGAGACGGGACGTGAGAAAGCCCATTGAATATCAGAAACCGCAGCTCTGTTGCGGAAGACCGCAGGAGAGCTCACGAGCCCCAGAAGAAAGCACCGCGGATGGACCAAATTGACGGCGACGGTGAAAGAGCAGTGCAATTCGAACCAACAACTGCCTCCCCAACATCACAGTCGAGGGGATGCGAAGCACTGAAGCAGTTGTTCCCTCAGGCTGTCAGTACCGTGTAGATTTTACATGTAGCCTTCGAGGCATGTGACCATAAAAAGTTCATTGACAGCGAAATATTCTCACGAGCATGCTGCGCCTCGAAAAAAGCAGTCGTAAATTTGAAGGAAAAACATCCTGATCCAGAAGATGTTAATTGACACCTAAATTTCAGTAAGGCTTATGGCAGAACGCCCAAGGGATACCCAATTTTGTAGACCAGCTTGGCACCGGGAGGGATGCGCCTTCGGTTCTCGAAATGCTCTGCACTTGGGTACACCCGGTCGGAACGCTAACCACTATGCAGTTCCCCGGTGCCCGGGTAATCCCGCAAGGATTAGGTTGGCGGTGCCACGAAGTACAAATACACCAGTACCTCTCGTCCCACAGAAAAATCATACTAGCGGTAGAACGCCACAACGGTGTGTCTCCCCGCAAACTCCTACTAAATAAAGCCGTAACATACACAAAACTTCTCTCAACAGTGGTTCCCCAAGTCACAAACATGCAAAGTAAACGTAACAACCTTAACGACCATCAACGCTCGCTGTCTCCCCTCAGCTCCATTGGGGCGGATGACACCATGATAGATGACCTTATGGGGACGCACCAACAAAGCACTCCTAACAACACCGAAAAGGACTTAACCACACTCGCGTCTCCCACCACCACACTCCCATCTATCACCTCCATTCTGGAGGTGGCCAAACGCCACAGATCCCCAGACTCGGCCAACATCCAAGGTCCTGAACTCGCGCCCCCTCCCCCCGAGAGCGAAGGGAGGACAAATAACACCACTAACCGCGCGACAGTCCCTACCTCCACGAGCCCTGCAACTCCCCCCCCAAACCCGCCACGTATCACCCGCCCCCCAGCCGTAGCAGATGCCCCTGACCCAGTAACTGCAGCTGCTCAGCGCCCACATGACGGCAACGAAATCTTCAACTACACCGACCTTGATGGCGAACTCGCTGACTTCCGCGCCCACGGTGCACGGCCGGCAAGAATCCTTGCAAACCTCAGTGAAGACCGCCATGAACAGTGGAAGACCATTCCAAGAACTGTCTTAACATACCCGCTTGACGCCAAACACAGCACAGAGGGCGACAAAAAATTTAGGAATAACCTGGCCACTTTCCTCAAAAGGGCCTTTCCCCAATCAAGCCTGAATATAATCATCCGTCCCCCAACCGCCCGATCACACGACCAGACAGGAACCCCTTGGGGCTTCCTTGTTGAGGGCCTCCACCCCTCACACATCAACACCCTTATCGCTGGCCACCTATGGATGAGCCGTGCGGTATGTTTCATAGCAATCGACTTCGCCAACTACCGGCCCACTAACTATGTTATATCCCTGCGTGGCTTGGGAGCCAACTTAAATGAAACTGGTGACATAGAAAACGCGATCACTCAGAGAATCCTTGACCAAAGATCCACATTCAGAACCTTCCTAGAAAGAGCGAACCTACATGTTGATGACATAAACCGCATAGCTACCAGCTGCACTGTTATCCCCGTGGGTATGCTGCATCCAACCATGGGAACCGCCTCAACCCGTCTGAACGAAGAAACCCAACCTCTGATGCCAATGTAACGCTTTGGGAAATCCACCTTCCCCCCCCATTCTTCGAAGTTCCCGACCCCACCCCCGGTGTCCTGAACACCAGCTATGACCAATGGGTCCGACTATTCAGAGAAACCACATTCTCCACCCCTACAAGTAACAACGGGTCCGCCAGCGGCTCCCACATATACTGCCATACTTGCAAAGGGTTGGACCACACATTCGCTGTTTGCCCAATCCATGAGCACTATATCTGGCGTGAACTCAACCCGAGCCCAGAAAATCCCCCTACACCAAACTCTGTTGATCTGCCCCGGCCCCACCTGGCAAATCGGGGACGCAGCAGAAACCCAGGACGCTATCGAGGACGTGGCCAGCACTACACCTAAAATGACCACTAAAAAGTAAAGCTATGTAGGCTACCCAATCCCTTCTAGCTTCATGTAAAATACACTGCCTGAAACATTTAACTCATGAGTGAACCGAAATAAAAACTAAACACAGGCAAGCAGCCTCGGCTAAGGACGCCCAAATTTACTGGACCGCAAGGTGACAGGAAAGCGCACCAGCCCACCCCAACCCCCTCTTCTCTCCCCGCCCCCTCCATGGCTGGCAACCAGGAGGGGGTGTACAAACAAACGCCAGCGAAAAAGTTAACACAAACAACCAACACAGGACCCCCAATCAGGTCCCGAAACGAACTCAACCGGTAAATGGCCTCCTCCCTCTGCCTCTAGAGGACTGCCGGCTTCAACCGTTTTCCAAATGTCCAAGGACAGAGGCAGAGGAACTGAAAACGGCCCCAACCCACTGTCCCCTCCGCCTAAGAGGAGGCAACCCCTCCCCCCAAAATGGCCCCCCCAGCCTAAAAATAGGCGCCCTCAACATCAAGGGCGCAAATAGCTCCTCCACCAAATACAAATGGACTACCCTCCTACAAAAAATGAAAAAAGAAAGATTTGGCATCATGTGTCTCTCCGAAACCCACACCGACCAAATACAACAAGAATACTTAGACAGTACCTATGACCCAGAGTGGACAATCACCCACTCCTTTAACCCAGATCACACCCGCGCAGGTGGTGTTGCTATCATAATTAATAAAAACATAATCAAAACCAAACCCAGATCCACTAGAAACATTATACCCGGCCGCACCCTCCTCATAGAAATAGACTGGCCACCCGACTCCCCTATCAAAATCCTAGCCATATACGCACCCAACCCCCACCACGAGAACTCCCAGTTCTGGAGGACACTCCAACAGAACCTTCACGGCACCTCCATCGACATTATGCTTGGGGACTTCAACATGGTAGAAGAAGCAATCGACAGACTTCCGCCACACCCAGACCCGGAAACAACAGTAGCATCCTTCCACAACTTCACATCCCCAAACAACCTAACAGACGGCTGGAGGAACTCACACCCAGCCCCCGAAAAAAACTTCACCTTCGGCCACTCCACAGGGACATCCCTCTCCAGAATTGACCGAATATACGCATCTGACACTATCAGAGAAAAAGCCTACACATGGGAAATATCCAGCCCGGGCCTATCCACTGCCGACCACCAACTCATCTCAGTGGAACTCAGAGACAACTGCGCTACCACAATCGGGAAAGGAAGATGGGCCATTCCCCTTTACCTGACCAAAGACCAAAACTTCCTACATGAAGTCGAAACTATCGGCAACGAGGCCCTAGACGAAATAGCCAGGAACAACGACACCCAGAACACCTTCCAAGACTTCATATCAGCTGTGACGCACCTAGCCAGAAAAATCACAAAAATAAAAGCAGGTAAACTCAACTCGGAAGTAAGGCGCCTCACACACAGACGTGACAAGGCAATGTCAAGGCTGACCTCCTCCAACGAGACCCTAACAGAAATGACACAACTCCAGATACAAAACCTAACCAAAAGAATAAATGAAATCGAAAAACTGAAACAAACTAAATCAAGAGCTAATGCAGGGGCAAACAAAAGACTCCTAAGCGAAACAACCAACAAGTACTGGTGCAAATGGGGGAAGGAAAACAAACCACGCGACACAATATCCGAACTGAGAATCCCGGACTCCAACCCACCAGCATACACATCCAAATCGGAAGAAATGACAAATATCGCTGCCAACCACTACAACAATGTGCAAAACAGAGACTTAACCACCCACCAGGAAGCAAGGGAAACCCACATTACGAACACCCTCAACCTCATCCGGAACCACACCCCCCCGGAAATACACTCAGACCTGGCCACCCCGCTAAGTCTTGCAGATATAGACAAAGCACTAAAACAATCCCCTAACGAAAAAGCTCCTGGCTTGAACGGAATACCCACCGAGCTATACAAAAACCTGAACTCCAGGTGGGAAAAGCGGAAAAATGATAACCAAGGCCTTCACGTAGTAAAACTCCTAACTCTCCTAGCCAACGACATCGAAAAAAATGGCACCTCATGCCCACAATTCTCGGAAGGATGGCTATGCCCACTCTACAAAAAAAAAGATAAAAGAGAAATCGAAAACTACAGGCCCATAACTGTACTAAACGCTGAATATAAGATCATCACGACAGCCCTCATGAATAAGCTATCCCCATAGCTCCCCTCCTTATCCACAAATGCCAAGCAGCCTTCATGAAAGGCCGAAGCATTTTCGACCAAATTGACCTCGTAAATCGCATGACGGACCTGTGTGAACTAACCGGACAGGACGGCGCAATCATTGCCCTCGACCAAGAAAAGGCGTATGACCGCATCCGCCATGATTACCTCTGGAGGGTCATGGAAACCATGGGAATCCCACCAGAACTAATATCAACAATCAGAAACCTCTATTCCGAAGCCAAGACTAAAGTAATCCTAAATGGCGAAATTAGTAAAGACTTCCCAATAACCAGAGGGGTACGCCAAGGTGACCCACTATCATGCCTCCTGTTCAACATCGCCATAGAACCCTTATCAATTGCCCTGAGAGAATCTCCGTCCCTCAAAGGACTAGAAGTCAAAACACCCACAATCTCACAAAGAGTCATAATATCCCTCTTTGCCGATGACACGGCTATCTTCCTCTCCAAAGATGACGACCTGAATGACCTACTCACGACATTAGATCGCTGGTGCATTGCCTCTGGGGCAAAGTTCAACCAAGAAAAGACAGTTGTCCTCCCTGTCGGCTCACCAGACTTCCGCGAATGGGCCCACAGTGAGAGATCCATTAACCCCTCCTCCAGCGACAAGCTAGATGAATCAATAACCATACTAAAGGATGGACAAACTATGAGATACCTAGGGGCCCAATGCGGGAACAAGCCCAACCATAAAGACCCCTGGCCCACGATCACAGCCAACATCGAGAAATCACTCACCCAATGGAACAAAACCCACCCATCCATCGAAGGTAGACGCCTAATTATCCAGATGACCATCGGAGGTATGACCCAATTTCACACCCGGGCCCAAGGAATGCCAAAAGACGTGGAAAGAAACCTGAACAGAAGAATACGTGAATTCATATGGAACTCAGACAGCCCCCCCCAATCAGCATGAACCAGCTGAATAGTCCAAGAGATCAAGGCGGTAAAAATGTCCTAAACTTACAAGACAGGAACGAGGCGATCCACCTCATCAAACTCCAAAAAATCCTCGACAGATCACCCAACAGACCCCCGGCCTCAGACGCTGCTGAAGCAATCCTGATGGCTACTCTCCCGAAAAACCAACAGCCCCAAAACCCAGCATACCCCATCATCACAGAGGTCCTCATCCAGAAACCCTTCCTTAACGCCCGGACCCACCGAAGAAACATCCCGGCCGAACTCCGCAACTCTCTAAACATCGGTGCAAAATACAACCTTAGATTAGAAAACCCGACAATCGACCTAGACACCAAACTCAACTTACCAGCCTGGGCCCATCCGGGCCTGAGAGACAACACCCAAATCAGCGACCGCTCAAAACCGGCATGCTGCCTGAGGGCAACTCATGGATGCAAACGGGTCGGCGATCTAATCATCCAAACAGACCACCAAGAAAACCCATGCCACGACCCAACCAAAAAAACCAAATGTCCCTGCACACCGTGCCAGTCCTACAAAGCTAACGGCTGTAAGAACCCTGACGCTTGTTACCAAATGGCGACAAAAATATCCACGAACCTTGACCTCCACTACAACCCCTACAGCGACTCACACCTCCTCTCCCAACCGGACCGCAATCCCAGAGAAACGGCCAGACAACACACAGCCGGGGACCCAATGGCCATTAAAATCTTCCACCCGGCCCCCAGTTCCTGCACGCCACTCGACCACCACTATAGGGTATTCGGCAGACCCCCCCCAGAACTCCCAATCACCCCCACCCCCCATCTCCTACAACCTAACGACGAGATAGCATATACGGACGGATCCTGCTCCCTAAACGGGAACACAAACGCCACAGCCGGCTTCGGAGTGTGGTACGGCCCAAACAACCCCCGAAATACCAGCAAAAGAATTAACCCCCGTCTCCCACAATCTAATAATACAGCCGAAATGCTGGCCATACACCATGCCGCGATATCCGTACCCCCGTCATCCAACCTCCACATCAAGGCCGACTCACAATGGTGCATCAGCACCCTCTGCGACAACCTCGAATCCTTAGAAGACTCAGACTACGCCTATGCCAAGAATCAATACATCACCAAACTAACAGTAAGCGCATTAAGATCCAGACTCACCCCTACCACATTCGAATGGCTAAAAGGCCATGCTGGGATCCGTGGAAACGAAGAAGCGGACAACCTCGCCGCAATAGGAGCACAACTGGCTCCCGACCCCCTCCCACCTGTAATGCCCCCCCTCCCCCACATACCGAGCGGCGCCCGCCTAATTTCCCTAAAACAGTCCACAGCAACAAGACTAATATGCAGAACCAGATTAGCGAAAAACCCGGTACGGAAAATAGCAACGCTTAACAACATCACCAAAATCCAAACGACCCTGGCGAGTATGAACAATGACTCCCCCACACAAAACAAGATCTGGGAGAACCTAGGGAAAAACCGTAAAGATGTCTCCCCCGAAATCCGCAACTTTGTATGGAAACTAACCCATAACTGCCTCAAGATCGGCAACTACTGGAATAAAATCCTAGGCTTCGAACACCGCGGTGAATGCAATGGGTGCCAACAAAGAGAATCAATGACACACATACTCTTTGAATGTCCCCTCAATCACGGCGCCTGGGTTTGGTCCACAGCCAAGGCGATATGCGATCGCCGGAAAATAGAATGGCCTAACGACCTAAACACCTCACACATAATGGCCGCCCCACTAACCAAGATAATGAACACCAACGGTAAAGTAAGGATGGGCGAAACCAGACTGTACCGAATCGTAGTCCTAGAATGTGCATGGCAAGTCTGGAAGACCAGATGCCGCAGAGTTATAGATGCCGATCACCCGCAAACCTCACTAAGAGAAGTAAGAAATGCCCTGAAAGCCGGCCTCAACGACAAGCTCCAGCAAGACATTGCCCTCACAAACCGTAAGAAGTACGGCCGGAAAGCCCTGCCGGCCAAAACAGTCCTGCTTACCTGGAGTGGGAACCTTCACAATGAAGACATACTACCGGACAACTGGCTCAACAGCACCGGGGTTTTAGTGGGTATACCGGACCCCCCCGGGTCTGGGAGTCCCACACAGCGCCGACACCCGGCCAGTGCGTAACGCATTTCCCCGCGGTGGCAGTCCAACACTCCCACTAACCTATCTACTCCACGGGACCTACCTCCCTATACAAACCCCAAATACATGAAAATGTATCGCGAAAGCTACTGGGGTTCCACCAAAAAAAAAAAAAAAAAAAAAAAAAAAAAAAAGAAATGCTCTGCACTTCATTCATTGAACCTTTCGTCCATTCAGATTCTCTCGTAGTCCACATGGAAAATTAACACGATCGTCTGAAACGATATTAGTATTTGCTGGGTTGCGCGTAGATACCCTATATGTCACCATTCATAAACCAAACATATCTACTTAGTCGTTTCTGAGCGGACAAGACAATTCATCACAGGGCGGAACTTGGAAGTACGATACAACACTGATCGAACAAATGACACCCTTTCACACCGTGCGCGCTACTTACATCCCCAATTGCGAATCACTAACCCAATGACTCCCACCCGCGCAACGGTAGCCACCGTTCTGCTTAATCCAACGGAAACCGGCGACACACACGCCCATTTGGCGCAGTTTATGTTGCACCTTGCTTTCCTTCTGTGCCTCCTCACGCATCTTCTTGAGAGCAGATTCCGACTCAGCGATCTTAGCTCGCCTGGCAATCGCCTCAAGCCGAAGTTGCTCTGCACGACGACGAGTCGCGTCTTCCAAGGCTTTGGCCTTCTGAGAGTCTTGATTTTCCGTTACACGATTTACTGCCTTTATCGCCCTTGCTTCAAGCTTTCGTGCATCCTCTTCGTCCTTCAATTGCTTTTCCTCCAGGTCGCGAAGTGCCGTTTCTCGTTCGGCAGCCGCTTGTCTATCTCGCATCAGCTGAGCCCAAATGGCATCGCTGACTCCAGGATCCCTCTCTCGGACGTCGGTATCGGTGTTTACGAGCTTTGATGCGCTGCGAACCGAAGGCACTGACTGGATGACTTCTGTCTCTCTAGAAGCGGAGTCGTAACGCCGCGGCGGCGGCGGATCTCTAGACAAGGGCGCGGGAGGTTGGATTGAAGGTGTGGTACTATGGGGAACCCTGTCTTGAGACCGAGAAACCATTGAGCTCAGCATTTCGTCCATGAGAATAATAACTGTGGACAAAGGTATCTCCAAGCTTTGAGCGCCTGGAGTCCCCTCCGATTCCAGCAACGCTTTGGATCTGACGCGCTTCGATAGCGTTTTGACATCACGAGCGTTACCCCACTGAGGCAAAGATGCCAAGGCGGAGAAACGGTCGATTAGTTGCAATGTCCCGTCGGTATCGGATGGGGAGTGGATTTCAACTTGGCCTGCCTTAAGCTCCCCGAAAAGCAGTTCAGCACATTTCTCTGGTGATAAAGGGTAAAATGGGATCTCGTCTGTTATGCGGCTTGCTAAACCGGCATTCACACCCAGTAGGGTATTGATGTCGTGTTCATATCCGGCGAGTATGACGATTAACCGTCCTTGATACTTCTCTTTCGTTAGACAATCTACCATCTCGTCGATGGCTTCTCGCGCGAACGGCCCCTCGCCTAGCCGGTAAGCCTCGTCAATGAAGAGAACCTGGATGCAATTTCCAACAGGTCAATATTTGTAGCGGTATAATATGCGAACCATTCACCTTCCCCAATGCCTTATCAAACATGTCCCGCGTTTTAGGCGCAGTTTGTCCCACGTATTGACCAACTAAGTCCGATGCTGAGCACTCAATGACCTCAGAAGACGAGAGAAACCCCATGTCGTAGTAAACTTTTCCTACTTTCCGCGCGACGCTGGTCTTTCCTGTCCCTAAACCATGAATGAAGTAGTTAGCCGTATCTTCGGTAGTCCAGGTGCTGAAACTTTGATACCTGGAGGACCTTTAAAAATAAAGGATGTCGGCACCTCCGTGCGGGGATCTTTCCCTCTACTTCTTGTCAGTTGACAAATACGTTGGACTTCTCGAAGCTTCTGCACAGCAACATCTGCACCGACCATATCTCGGAACAGAACCTCTAGGCTTTTCTCCGCACTGTGCGAGCGGTCGAAGTCAGGGTCGATGTCTTCCGGTTTGAGGACAATATCGATTGGACGCTCAGAGAGCTTGAGCCGAGACTGTCGATTTTGATAATGCAGTTTGGCCTTCCCAAGCATATTATCGACTTCTCCAGCGTTTCCGAAGTGAGGGCGAACTCTGGAACGATCTAGCACCTCAAGGGCCACCGACCTCGCTTTCAGGGTCGCATCCAGGTCTTGGTCTTTCAGCTTAAGATCTAGAATCCGTGCAAGTTCATCCCTCGTAAAGTCGGAGAAAACGAATGCATCTTCAATTGCAAAGCGACGCGAGAGCCCGGGATTGACATGCTGACAACAGCCGGTAAGCAAGCGAACCGATGGTTCGACCGGCATGCATGAGCTCACCTGAAACATTTCCTGCATTTGTTCCTTGTAGCCTAGCATCAACACACAGCGATCCTCTCCAGGATTTGGCTGTATTTCGGCCACGATGGTATCAATTACTGCCGTCTTGTAGCCATTAGACCCTCCAGCGTTGTCATACAGACCATATGCTTCGTCAATGACGAGCACCTTCCCCCGACTATTTTCCAGGATACCTTTGGTTTTCGCCTCGGATGCTCCAACCACATCGCCGATGAAGTCAGCCGGCGTCTTCACTACCACTAGCAGGGTATCGAAGCAGTTAACAATGTTTGCATAAAGTGACCCGAGTGTACTTGCCTTCTCCATTGGATAACATCCCCAGGTCCGCCAGGACCTGACCGTAGACTGATTCATTCCCAGAACTCAGCTCGATCACAAAAGGGCAAACAAATGGACCTACGGTTGGCGACTGTAGTCTTCCCCGTCCCAGGATTACCTAGGAAGACACGATGTAAGGATGTTTGGACCAATGATTTCTCCGCAAGTTCGCGTTCATAGTTAGTTTGAATGATGTCAATGAGGCTTTGGAGCGTCGCCTTGACATCTGCCAAACCAATTAAGTCCTGTAGTTTTTTCCATGCCTTGCTAATTTTTACAGCCGCATCAGGCCTCGGACCAATGAGATCGGTTTGTGTGAACAGAAAGTCGTCGGGGCGGTTACCTTCGCGTCGCTCGCGTGTGATGCGCTCGGCTTGGCGCTGCTTGATTCGATCAAGCAAGGTGGTGACGGCTCGGGCATTCCCAAACCCATCCCTTCCCCGCGCTGCTGCGAGCCTCCGGATGGCGATACGGACATAAAGTCCAGCGTTCCCTCCTTCGACAGACATTCTCCCCGAATACCTCTTAGAAACTTCGTGGATGAAGATTCGAACTAGTTCGTTATCTTCATAATCTTCAAAGAGTATCGAACATGGAATGCGAGATGGCAAGCCGGGGTTAGCCTCGAAGAACTTCTCCATATTAGATTTATATCCAGCAAACAAGAAAACGATCTTGCCGATATTATCCAGCATCAGAGTGAGGAGGTTATCAAGAACAGCACGTCCGCCCGGATTATGAGCACTTGTGAGCTGGTAGGCCTCATCAACGAAAATTGTACCGCCTCCTGCCTTCAGGACCTCGTCGATCGCCTTCTTCAGCCCAGGAATACCTTCATGGGCTAAACTTGAGCCTGAAGTTTCAACGAAATGAGTCCCAGGGAGGATTTTCATGGAGGATAGGAACTTGGAATATAATCTAGCAATTGTTGTCTTTCCTGTGGCAAGAAAAATTGTGCATCATTCACTTGCGGTGAGGGTTGGGACAAACTTACCAGTTCCGGGGTTGCCCAAAAAGGCGGCGTTAAGATTTTTCTTCTCCATTGAGATGCCCTGTCGCAAGCTTACTTCCAACTCCGCTTTGAGGTCAAGTACGTGTTCTTTAACTCTTTCCAACCCGACCATGCCCATGATCTCATCGATATGCGGGTTCTTGGCCCCCTCGATGCTTTTCTGGCGTTCCCATTCCTGCTGGCATGCAGAGCGTACGACACTGGCGCTGGATTCATTGCTATTCACCGAACTTGGCTTGGACCCGAAAATGGACACTGGTGCTATCGAAGAAATAATGGAGATAGGGCCTCCCAGGTTAAATAGATTCGTTGGGAAAGCGACTGGAGCTGCAGGTGGCTCCGGTGCAGGTGGCTCCGTCGCAGGTGGCTGACTGCGAGATGAGGCTTCCTGTATATCCCATCGTCTCTGTTCCAAAGCTGCAGCTCTTCCTTGGGCAGCTTTCCGATCCCCTTCGGCTCTGACCTGTCGTTCGAGCTCAGCATCAAGCTCAGCCATCTTCTCCTCATGAGCGGCTTGCTCAGCAGCCCGCCTGGCGGCTTCTTCTGCCTCCTTCTTCTCGCGCTTGCAGGAAGAACAGTTTGCGTTTGCATTTTTGTCTTGGCATTCTTTGTGAATCTTGTGACCGTTCGCACACTTTGTGACAACCTTCATTTTACACTTGATCTTGGAGTGGTCAACTAACTGGTGACATTTTGAGGGGCAAGGGTGAATCCCGCAATTCAGAATTTCCCCGCTGCGTAATGCGCCGTAAGAATAGAGCCTTGACAATAAGAAGTGAGTCTCACCATGGCTCCAGACATCCGCCCTCAGGTGCGTGTGTCTCAAAGTCCCCAGGTGAGCGAAGTAAGGATGTCCGATCTGGGTGACGGGGACACAACACCGGCAAACCATCATACATGCAGTTCCCTTCCCGCAGGAGCTGGAAAAACGGCTCCCATGTTTTCGATCCCTTGCGGGAATGCCAGAATGTACTCGAGTTGCCAATTATGATCAATCCATCGCGAGCGCGAGAGAGGAGGACGTTCAGTCGTTCCGGTGAAGACATGAATCCAATATCATGCTCGTCATTGCTTCGGGTCAAACTTGCGACAACAATTTCACTTTCTTCTCCTTGGTAATTATCTGGCCATTGGGATTAGAGGCAATTCCGTTATTCAGCGTACGACATACCAATTGTGGCGAGACGAATCTGCTTCTTCGCCGCCTTCGCCGTCGCTTCAGGCACCAGACCAGCTTTAACGAGATCATATGAGTCAAGATCGTTTAATACAGGGTCATGAGTCTTCGACAACATGTTTCGTAGCAAGCTCAATTGCCCCAAGTATGGGGTCAGAATGACAAGGTTATCTGTCCCGTAACCTTGTTGACCAAGATACTTGACGATTCTCAAGACCATGTCAGCCTCGAAGGAGTTGGCCTTGCTACGATCCTCGTTTTGGTTTTGGACGTCCTCGGGATAGTGATGATCAATGAAAACTACGTTTGCCTGGAGACCTCGAACATCAGCACGTCCTGATGTTTTCGGTGCGTCTAAGAGATTAGGGTAAGTCATTTCGCGAACAAAACGTGATATTTCCGGACGCATGCGGTGTTGCGCCTGAAGTGTATGATGGGGGTAGCCCTTGAGAACAAGACGTTCGAATAACGATCTATTCAGATCGTACCCTTCCCCCTTCTCCACGGTCAATTTGTAATCATTCACTTTTGGCCGTAACTGCTTATGGTCGCCAATCAAGATTGCTTGATGTATCGACCCACCGATCGCACTGATGATGTGACTCTCAAGAATTTCTCCCGCCTCTTCCACGAGTAGCACATCCGGAGACGAAGCCTTGATGTCGTCTCGATATTTCGCAGCACCCGTCGTAGTCGCTGCGATGATCCGTTTTGCGTTCAAAACGGCTGCGTGCCCCCGTGAAAACACGGCCTCCTTCCTATCCATTTCCTTATTGTGTTGAACAACCATCTTGCTGAGCCGCTGAACTTCTTCCTCAAGCAATGTGTCGAACCACTTGGACAAAATCCCTTGTCGCTGGGGGGCCGGGAGACTCCAGACTCGACGATGAGATTTGATATGAGGATGAGACGCTAGCACCCCTGCACCCTTTCCGGCCCTCCATTGTTTAAGCAAGTAATAGCGGTCAATTGCCTTCCCCCTAGCAACCATTTGCATTCCGTCATCGCTGGAAGGAATACAGAACGCCTGATAGTACTCCGGGTCCTCAAATTCCAAAAGCCCGAGCAGAGTTTGATTGGATGGCATTGAGTTCTTGGCCCACTCCTTGGGGAACGCGCGGGGAATTGACTGCCTCAGATTATCAGCGTTGCGTTCTGCTTCTCTGATGTCGTTCCAATCTCCGTGGGTACGCTTGTATTTCTTCCTCGCCTCACCGTACAGACTAAGTTTATCCATTGCAGGATTTGCTTTCCCTCCGAGTCTCACAATCTGTTCCGATGGGATCCCGATTTTCATGAGATCTTCCAGAAACTGATCGAGCGCGTGATTGGTGTAACACACAACGAGAATCCTCTCTTTGGTGTAGGTATAAAGGGCCTTTGCCAACAGGGCACCAATAAACGACTTCCCCGTTCCTTTACAACAAACCGCTGCGGTAAGTTTGATGGAAAAGGGCACGCAATACAACAAAACCTACCAGGTGGTCCTTGGATCAAGCTCAATCTCTGCGAAAGGCTCGCAATGAAAGAAGTCCGCTGAGATACATCAAGGGTCACTGGTGCACCCAAAGACAAGGCGGACCTCAAGCACCCAGGATCGAGTCGAAGACGCTGAATGAGATGACTGACGGGTGCAAAGGAAACGGGTTCCTGGAGCGGCCTTCCAGGATACCAATGGAGAATTTCTTCCTCTAACACGAGCTGGGAGGGGAGCAATCGCTGAAGAGACACCAAGATTGGCTCGTAAGCGAACACGGCGCAATTGATAGAAACCAGTTTAACATTCTTGCTCTTCTTCAAAGCAAAGAAGGTTTTCGCTGCGACCTCTTCGTTGTCAAATCCGACAACCAAAACAGGTGGGTGCTTCGAAAGTTGGTCTTCCTCACGAAAGAGTGTAGGGAACGATAGGATGTGGCCGTCGACTATTAGGCAGGTGAGGGACAAGTGTTTAGCGACATTTTTGTTTTCCTGGAGATAGGCTTTCCTCTTCTTAGGATCATTGCCGACCTTCTTAAATTGCCACATATCGGTCTCGCAGAGAAGCTTCACTCCTATTTTCCCCCGTTCTCCGCTATCTGGAATGAACAGTCCGTCGAAGGTGACTGAGACTGCCAGGCCCCGATGCCAACCTTTCTTCTTCCCCAAAGCGATCTGGGTTTCTTCACGAATTTCACTAAGCATGTCTTCCCGAAGTAGGCGAAATTGATTGTCAAAATGAGTCTGGGGATGAACCTTGGTATCTTGGTCATTGTTTAAGTAAGTTGCCGGCCGGAGAAAAGGGGGCTGAACACTCTCTAGCTCGTCGGGAGTAGGAAGAATAGCGATCTTTCGAAAATTGGCAAGGTCGTTATCGTGACGACCCCCCGCCTCGTCCTCATCGGCGTCAGGTGTTGCACGGAGGTGTTTGATTTTGTGACCATGGGCACGCGCTTCTGGAGATTTTGACTTTAACAGGCGATTGATGACGGCGGCATCGTCCGTAGCGGCGTGGTAATATGCACAGTCACCAAGCTCAGGGGGAGGGACCGTTAAAACCTGGACCAAGAACCAGCCAACCGTGACCTCGCCGTCAGCATTAAGTCTGCCTTGCTTAAACGTGCTGAGAATTGCGTTCCAGAACACAGTGGGAGAAAGCACGTGTCTGATGACTCGTCCCAGATAACTACCTCCATGAATATTGGAAAGTGCGGGACTGGAGAGGAACAGGCACAGTTTGCTAACGGGATCATTGAAGAAGTCAGGCGTAGCTTCGGAAAATAGAGCAGCTTGTAGGGCTCTGAGACCAGTCTGATCGCGAGAGCACAGGCGCTCCACGCAGCTCACAGCGTCAGATTGCGAATACATTGCTTCAAGGAAAAGGCGAGCGTTGTCCTTCTTAATGGATGCTTTCCCAGAGCAAACGCTATCAAAGACTTTGGAAAGTCTTGCCAAACGTCTCGAGTCTGCCATTGTCAGGAGTCAAGACCACCGATAGGGGCTTTATAGTGACTTCCTACCACACCGTATATAAGGGATGAGAATTATATTGGAGGGTGGCACGTTGGCCAGTGACTAACCTTCTGCGTATCAGGGTCCGCAGCTGGCCGAGCAGTTATCCCAGAAAACAACGTAATCGAGATACACAAGGCAGTGAGACACACACCTCCCAGTCACAGCACCCGTACGCATCAGGAAAGAGTCGCCTTTACTATGGATTATTTGGTCGCATTGGGAGCGACTGGACTGAAGGAATTGACCAAACCGGGTGATTTACCGTTTCCACGATGCAGCAACAAAAGTGCCAGTGATATTCCGGATACAGATGCCAACGCGAATCCATTCAATCCCAACTCCTACGTTTCTGCGACTGCAAATTGAAAAGATCTGCCCATTGAATGTCAGAACCGCAGCTCCGTCGTGGAAGACAGGAAAGCTCACGAGTCCAGAAGAAAGCAACGTGGACAAATTGACAGCACCGGAGGAGAGCGGCGCAGTTCAGGCCAACAATTAGCTCCCAACACCACAATCGAGGGGATGCAAAGCAGTTGTTCCCTCAGTCTGTCACTAAAACTTGCATGTGCCTTTCGAGGCATGTGATCATGGAAAGTTCAGCAAACATTCTCACGAACATGGTCGTGGCAAACTGCGCAGAGTGCAATGAAGAAAGCTGGGAGATAGGCCCCAAGGAAAAGAACCAGACGAAAACAGCTTCCATGTCGCGCAACGCAAAATGAATTGGATTCGTATCGAAGCACGTGGCCCAAAAAGGTTGTTGCCAAGATCACCTGGATCAATCGAAAGTCCAACACTGGCACTGCTCACATAGTTTTACAATATGAGTGACGACGAGGAATCGAAAAAATCCGGATACAGGCTAGAAGTTTCCGCTAACAATAGGGCTGCCTGTAAAGGTAAGGGGAACCTTGCCCTGCCTGCACAATGCTTACTCATTCCACCTAAAATCATTTAGGGCCGAAACCATGTACTGGTACTGATATATTTTTCTGACGAGAAATGCAGACACTCAGACGCGCTATGCTACACACGTATTTCTCCTTCCACAGGAACCAAAATCCTTAAAGGCGAAGTGCGTTTGGGAAGTTTAGTGGATTTTAGGGGTCACACTACATGGTCATGGAAACATTGGCGAGTAATTTCGTACTTTTTCCTCATAATCTGGTGATTGACGCGCTTATGTGAAGGGGCTGCGCCTCGAAAAAAGTAATTGAAAATATGAAGAAAAAGCATCCGGATCCAGAAGATATTGACGGGTACGAATACCTAAACCCCAGTAAGGCTCATGGCAATCTTATCTTTTCTGCACTCGTTCTCACCTTTACTTGACTAGCACAACAGGCTAAAATTAGAACTGCCTGGGAGACTGGACATGTTGCCGATGAGGATATCCCTCCTTCCGCTCGCAAACCGGAAGGGGAGGGTGGGGATGAAGAGGAAGAGGAAGAGGAAGAAGAAACGGGAAAGAAGAAGAAGAAGAAAGCGCCTGCGAAGAAGCGAACCGCAAAGCAGGACGAGGTGAGGGACGATGACGTCGAGGCGATCGCTCATATTTAATGTTGGTTGGGTTTAGGATGGCGCGGGCGACACAGGGGAAGCGGAGCTCCCTAAGAAGCGCAAGAAACCTTCTAAAGCCAAAGGGTCAGATGACGAGGAAGTTCCCAGTAAACCCTCAGCAAAACGCAAAGTAGGTATGCCGTCTGTTCTTGCCGAATGAGGCATTGACAACCCGGGGACAAAGAAGGCCGATGGCTCGTCAAAGGGCAAGACTAAAAAGAAGGCTTCCAAGACGACGGCTTCTGACGAAGACGAGTGAGAGCCAGAAGATACTTGACCACGTTGTGCTGACTTTAATGATGTGAATTATCATATACCTTGAGCAGTCTTCTTAATCATTTGACAACTCAGTGACACTGAGGATTGAATACGAGACTCTTGCCGCCAGTCCCACCTGGTCCAGCATAACTGTCTAGTCGGGGGCAATTGAGTGCCTTACCCCGCCGGTTTCAATGAAGCTGCCTTATAACTGGTTTGAAAATGCCCACGCCAGAGTATATTAGGCCTCCCAATATTTTGAGAAGTTGTGGATATCTGGATCTTGTAGGGTTTTCATGCCCTCGGTGGGCGTTGAACCCACAACCACTCCCGCACAGGAAAGACGAAGAGAATTCCTCTAAGAGACCCGAGCTTTAGAATTTGACCATGCAGATAAGGGACGGCTTTATTTAGATATGAGCGTGCTTGGCTGTCAGTTACCGGTCGCTTTCCAGAAACCCGCCGTGCGTCACAACAAAGCCACAACTCTTCGAGCCAGTTTAAATTAATTACAGAGGACACGTACACATAAGGCAATTCCATTAAGTCAAGTGTTTCGTCTCGTATTTCCTTTGCAACATATAACTCAACGTGCAGTTAACTCATCAACTAGCTTCCTGCACTGCATCGTAAAACCAATCTATATCATTTCCAAATATGAAACGTGCTGCCGCCAATCTTTGAAGCGGTCTAGGTTCCATCAAGCGGCGTTCCAGATGAGAAGCCGAAGTTGCATTGTATAGCTTGCACTTGAGGCAGAGGTTTCCCAGAATCTTTGCAAGGAGAGACCGGGAGCCCCATGATCCTTGGTAGTTTTCCATGGCCCACATCAGATGGATGAGGCCATATATAAGACTTCGAGCGCGAAAGATAAGAATTTTGTGTTGCCCTTCAAAGCGACGGACTCGATTTGAGGAGCAGGTGCACTCGTTACCTACAACAAATAAGGAAAGCGGATGCCATGATAAAAGAGAAGTCTACCCTTACCAATTCGTGGAGTGTGGATGCATTCAAATCGCCGGTAACGTCGACGAGGAGAGTTTGGTCATGTTGGGTGCAATTATTCTATTCTGAACGGACCTCCCTGGTAAGATATCGGAGCTGGAGCATGGGATAGAAATGCTACCACATAAAGTTTAGATTGTGGACCGAAAGCGTGTGAAGTGATGGGATTGGCTACCGTTGTAGTATGGCATATCACTTATCCACTGGATCATGCATTACGTGGTCGAGGGTCAGCTCCTCCAGATTGTGTCAGGCATCGATGAACATGGTAAAGTTGGCACCCGTAATGAAAGCGTAAGAAAGAACAGGACTGATAGGTTGTCCGGACTGCACGAAAGACAGTGGGACAACAATCTTGTGAAGGGATAGATGACAAAGTGACCATGCAGAATCTCAATAAATCCATTAAACTGACCCCAAATGCCGTATGCACACAGACCCAAGGGCTCGATCAACTCGGGGATCACTCCCCTTTCTCTCCATCATCCAGCATCAGAGTCGTAGGATATCGCTTCCTGAAGGTCCACTAGTTACGTCGAGTGGCAGATACAGACTGGTGATCCGTCTCTGGACATCAACCCTGCCATACCCACACCTCTCCGAACTTGCTCTCGTCCATGATGTTCTAATGGCAGTATATCCTAGACCATCCTCGATAGTAAATAGGAAAATCTGTTGAAGAATCTCTATTGGAATAGAGGCTATGGATTGAAGGGAATTGTAAAGTACGGCACGTCGCCATCTACAATCATGGTCAATTTTTGGCTTAATGAATATAACGACATGGTAATCCGCATACGCTCCAGCGCGTCCTCAGTCGCTCCTGGACGTGAACTTCGCGCTTCCGGACGGATACCGACTTTGTTCATCGACGTGTTCGGAGATACGAGCGAGAAAAGTCGTTAACGCTGATCGCGAGATTTCCAATTTGAGAGGGCAGCAGGACTCTAGGAGGTGCAGTCAAGTTGATGCCGCCAGCTTTGTGTCTCACAATTATCAATGAGCCAAGTGCGCTACTCTTCGAACATGGACTCTGGTCTATTGGCCGACGGGCCACTAAAGTAATAGCCGAAATGAGTTTTATTCAAGTCGAAAACGTTCTGTCACAGTGGAAAATAACCCTGATAATCAGAAATCAGCAAGGTGGACGCAGCTCCGCTTGCTATTCTAGAGAATGCGTGTTCCTCCACGCATCGGCTTGTACGAATGTATAACGAAAGGAGCCAGTGAAAGGAGTTGACGAAGGGCTGCCCAGCATTGAGCTTGCCACCCGACCAAACTCACCCCAGAATGCATCAAGGGAAGCATTTATTGATCATATCATGTTTTGGCCACCATACCTAATAGCCGGGACAAATGAGCTGGACCCGGTCCCTAGATATTGCCTGATGTTCGTCGTTGTCACATTCTTTCGGGCGCTTCTCTTGGAGATGCAGGGGACACTGGAGGGCTACCGTAGGACGTGCAATTCCTAGTGCTTTGGCATTTGTTCCTGTGGAGTGGAGTCCAGATACATCGCCAGAAACCCCTTTCTTGGTGCACGGCGCTAAGAGGCACTTTCAGATATTAATCATAGCCAAAGAAGAACTAAGTTGGACGAATTTTAGGCAGGTAGAGATGGAGACGTATCCTCAGCCCTGAACGACGGCAAACCAGCGGCAAGGCGTAGCATGGTACGGGACTTGGCGCCACATAACACCGACCTGCTCAACCCACTGGATTGGGCGATGGCACAAGCAAGTGCGCCAATATCCACCCTCACGAACGTGGCGATTCTGTGTCCTCAGTCCTAGCTTTTCCCCACCACGTTCCTCATCATGTACTGTGGCATGACAGTTCTTGCCATCCCTACTGTTGACATTGAATCCTGCATGGGCCGGAGTCTATGCTCGAAGAGTAGCATATAGTAGCCTACGTTTTCTTTAGCATTACGAGCATTCTGTATTGGTCGCAATGCATAACAATATCAATTGCCAAGTTGCGGACCGGGGCGCACGGGGAAAGTCGTATATCGCATGCGTGGACTGATCACGCCAACCTATGAACGACTCGAAAGAAGAAAGCGATTTAGTTTGAGTTGGATGTATGTAAAGTAGGCCACGTTGGCAGATCGCCAACGACCTAGGCGCCTCCGTTAGCGAAGGGGCGAAGTCCCCTACCCTGCCTCAGCCACTTCTCCACAACGAGACCGTGGGGAGAGTATATTCGATCCCCGGTAATTCAAATGCGTCGAAACTTTCAATCCAGTGCAGTGGATTCACCGTCATAAAAATGGGCCCACCATAAATAATCAGTTAGGCATCATGTTTTGGGGGAAGCTGGTCCGATACAGGCTGCAGGGTCCCAGTGGTACAAGACTATTTGTGGCCTACAAACGGATTTGTGAATGTTTGCAGAGGTTTTTCAACACGGTCATAAAGCTGTAGAAAGCGTGTGGAGTCGTCCGTGTCGCCCCTCAACTGTCAAAGCGATGAAGAAGAATCGTACGCAATGTTATTGGCTGAACCCACAACTTGGAGGCACTCCAGCGCCCCATGAGAAATGAGTGAATGAGTCGCGCGTAGAGATTCACCCATTCCAACTGCTGCACTGGACAGCAATCCAAGTTGCGTGACAACATCGAAAGGACAAGTGCGTTGATAGTTTCAGTCCATGATGAGAGGTTGCGGACTTTGTCCCTGCAGTTAGCCGAGCTCACGCGCTGCTGCCTCCGACACATCGGAAGATGGTCTTCAGCAACACCCACGAACTGACCCAACCACCACGTAATGAGATCCGGTGAGCAGCTTGCATGCAATGGTACGCCACCATATTGCGCTCAGGCTCCATCACAAATGGAATGAAATGATACCGACACACTTACTTCGAAATACCGCCCCCAACCAAAAACATTCCTTGTGCCACACATCTGCAGTGCCTCTTCTATCCTCTTTCCTTGCATTTTTTAGACCTAAATAGGTCCGTACATGTTGAAGCGCTGGAAGGGTTCGAGTCGGAAATAGGCACCGATGAGTTGGTATGAGGACGATGGGGACCCGGCATGATGAACTCGATGCCACCACAGGCTGAGCCGTGAGAGTGGTCTACGGGAGATTGAGAGTTGGCGGTCGATATCCGACAGCTCAAGACAGAACCGAAAGGATTATCTGGCCTCTAAATATGAGGAATGGATGGATCTAACTGAGGGATCCAGTGCAGAGACAGACACATGTGAATATGAGTGGGTGCAGTCGGGGGACGACGGTGGCGCGTGAAGAATGTAACAGCAACGTCACGCCGGACCCATCCGGCTTACCTAATCAGAATTGCACTTGTCAGTGTCACTCCCGATTTGGTTTGTTGTTCCACAAATATATGTGTTGAACTCTTCTCGACCAATTACGCACTACGTCGTCACCAACATTGCAGATATAAGGGCCCTCGAAATCAGGGCTTGTCTTTCACGTTGTGAGAAAATTCCCCAATATACAGACCTGGAGAGGTCATAGTCAGCGTCGATCCCCCCTATGATTCCAAGCTTGAGTTCCAACACATTAAATGCGCTAGTGAATAGGGGCCGAACACACACCCAAGTAAGCTCTAGCTATCGCATTGCGCACAGGGGAAGGAAATGGCATGATCTAACATGAAAATTGGGACCCTCTGTTCACAAACTTGAATGCATCGTGCTGAGTGCAACGGCAGTTGGGTAGTGCATGTAAATCGACTGATCCTCTAACGTGCAAGCCCAGTAACAAACTATGTACATTATGAAGCTCAGCTCTAATCAATTCAGTGGGCTGCATCGCGCCCGTCGAGATTTCGATTTTGCAACTCCCTACTCACCTGTTTAGTATGGTCCGCTGGACTTAGTGGTTTCTGTTTCATGCGGAAGTAAAAGATCTAAAGTGGAGTTAAATAGCATGTTGTCAAAACAATGCGCTCGTCTAGTATCCGGTTCGAGACTTTATTATGGCGTCTTCCAAGCATTTGTCATCGTCAGAATTGTGAAGACAGGAACTAAAACACACTGTTTAAAGGTGAAGTGGAGGATTCCCACCGAGGAATGCATTCGAAGTTTGGCTTTTTGGTCTCGGCGCCTGTGTCTCAGTCACATTTGTCATTAGACACTCCTTTGTTTTGCTTCACGGAAGCTTTGGTGCGTTCTGGAACGATAAACAAAAACACACAAAACAGGGGAGCAAGAGCCTGGTTTCGTGCATAAATTGAGCAGCTCTCGCGAGGGTTCCTCTCTTTCTCCCCAGGGAATTATAGCCCTCCCATGGAATATACCCCTCCGCGTGGATACCCTCCACACGGAATATACCCCTCCCATGGAATATACCCCTCTGCGTGGATGCCCTCCGCGTGGAATATATCCCTCCCATGGAATATACCCGGCTTGTCCCCAGCCACTCCCTGATCTCTCTCCCGAAATAGACGGCCCCACTGCGTTCAGCGGCCACTCTCTTCCGCAATAAGTTTCTTTTCTACTCTGACCTTGTCACTCCTTCATGTCACTCGTTTATTTCTCCCGCTATAAGTGTCCTGACTATTCTCACCTTGCCACTCCCTTATATCTCTCCCGAAATAGACGGCCCCACTGTGTTCAGCGGCCACTCTCTTCCGCTATGTGGAGGTTTCTTTTCTAATCACTCCTTCATGTCACTCGTTTATCTCTCCCGCTATAAGCATACTAACGACTTTTGCCTCGCCACTTCCTTATCTCTCTCCCGCTACAGCAACCTACCCTACCCTTCTATGGTCTCTCTTGAAAATATGCCGACCGATGAAAATGCATTTTCGGCTGTATACTCTATGACTCTATGACCCTATGTCCCTATAATCCTATGCCTCTATGCCTCTATGCCTCTATGCCTCTTATCCCTTCCAAATATGCCCCTATGTCCTCTCCCCTCTATGAAAATATGCCGACCGATCCGGATGGGTCATCGGCTGTATCCTTCTCCCTACATAAATATGCCGGCCAATCGGAATGCGTCGCCGGCTGTATCCTATGCCCCCCCCTTAAATATGCCGACCAATCGAAATGCGTCGTCGGCTGTATCTTCTCTTTCTCTTCCTGCTTTCCCCCTCCCCGGAGATCATCCCGTGCCTAAATATGCACCACATCAGAGTGCTGTATGCCGTATGCCTCTGTGCCAGGTCATGCCCCGCGCAAATATGCGTCACATCAGAGCGCTGTATAACGCGACGAGCATGTCCCTGGATTCCCAATGCCGAACGTCAGGCCCTGCGGCGAAATATGCACCAAATCAGAGTGCTGTATGTCGTCAGGAGTGTGGGCTAGGCTGGAAGGGATTGGATAGGGGAATGCGGTTCCTTTCAATTTCCTTCCTTTTTCTTCCTCTTCCTCTTTTTTTTTAAATTTTGGGCCGTCCTTGGTTCTGCCGGGGACTTGTGCTTAGTTCCATACCAGCTCCTCCGAAACCCAAAGCGGGTCGGGAGAGCGGCTAGGTACATAGCTCTGGCTCTTCCGGGATGGCCGCAAGGTGCGTGGTTCCCTTTTCTCTGTTTTCTTTTTCTCTTCCGTGGGGGACTACTGACAGTTTTGCCTTTCATAGCAACCCATGCCTGCTGCTAATCTTCATTTTGTTATTTTGTTCTCTAGGGATCTTCCCTCTCCTCGTGCGCCTCTGCCGCATGTAATCAATAGCCTTGACGGTAAGTATTTTCGCCTCTTATTCCTTAGGCGTATTACTAACCACATCTTCTTCCGTTTTAATTTTTTGCGTCTACGGACCACTACTCTCGACGGTAAGTATGCGCGCTCCCTACCCATCTAGGCGTATTACTAACCACGTTTTTTAGGCCTACGGGCCACTCACTCCCAACGGTAAGCATTTCCACCCTCGGCGTTTAGGCTTGTCACTAACCACATTTGACGGTAAGTATGCGCGCCCGCTACCCGTTTAGGCTTAGTACTAACCACATCTTCTTCCATTCCTTTGGGTCTACGGACCACTTCTCTCGACGGTAAGTATGCGTATTCCCTACTTTAGGCTTATCATTAACTGCGTCTTCTTGGTCTATGGACTACTTAGTGAGAGCATACGCGAGTCGGGGACCATAGGCAGGTTACAGCCTCTATTGGAACAGATGGATTCTTGGGTTATGACCTGCGCCTGTACATTACATGTATGTTGAGACGTCCCAATGCAAGTTGGCCAACCATCCTACGCGTTAGACACGATATCAGACACCAGATGAACTATAATGTTGATTTAACATCTGATCAAGTTGGTTGCTCCATGGTTGAGATTAGGTTTGTCGCCGTCGTCAAGTGGCTAATAAATTTGCGTCAAGAATTGTCATAGTTTCCATTCAGGCCACTTTCAATAAATCTAAATATCGGTATACACAGCTAGACAAATCTCCCGACGAACGATGGGCGGAGAGGGTGTGGGTGCTCATCCAGACACGAAGGGAGCCGGAGCTAGTGATGCCTTTCCAAGTGAGAAGAGAGGCAGAATGGAATGAGGGTGAAGGGAACATCCCAAAAGTCCTTAATGGTGAGATCCACCGCAGTCACCCATAGGCATCGGAATGATTTGTTGTGCAGAAGTGACATGACATATCGGCTTGAAGTAGTCGAGGGATAGAGTCGAGTTGGAACCGAGTCGGACTTTCACACGGAAGTAAGGAACTTGAATAGAGGCCGTGTGCAAGCATCCAAGGAAGGGTCATGAGTGCCGTGCGTGCCTGGCGTTGCACGGGTGTCATCGATGGAGCAGTGGAGGAGTCAGACTGAAAAGTGTGGCCCGAAATGAGATCCAGCTGACTCATGCCAATCACGGTTGCTTTCGTTGCGATCCTCAGTCGACGGATTGGTGACATGGATCAGGGGAACCTGCGAGGAAGCCGATGGCGGCCCAGGTCATGCTCGGGGCCAGAGAGTAATTTGGTTTGGGGCCGAGGTATGCATTGCAATGGTGTGGTGTGAACAGCAGTATGAAGAGTGAGGGTTAGGCAGATCGCTCAACGGTGGTTCATATAGCGCGCGGGGTCGCGGAAGCAACAAGCGATACATCAATTGACGATGCAAGTTGGGGTGTGGAGGCGATTCCACCTAAGTACTTTGGTGGGATACCATAAAAGATCAGCGCTTGTTTTCTGTCGCGCGAGGGCAGAAGGGCGGGCCAGAGGGAGATAGATAGCCTCATATTGAAATTATGAACTAGTCGCGAATTAGCGCTCAGTTCCAAAGATGTGAACTAAGTATTATTAGTCATTACCTAGTCGCGAATTAGCGCTAGGAAATATGTACAAGATTAGACAATATTCCAAGTGATGAAAAAAGGAGTCTCACCTCAGTTCCAAAGATGTGAACTGAGGAGAGAGGAAAGAGAAAAATCGCGCGAGGTGGCTTTTAAGCCATCCTCGACTGCGTTCATCAACATGGATGCCAAAAGTAGAAGCATCGGGCAATCCTTCATGGAAATGCCCGTGTGCAAGATGTATAGTCCGACGGACTCAATGGACAGTCCACAGCGTACCAAGAAAACAAGGATTTCAACACGCCCACTCGATGTGGACCTACTCACGCAATCCCATGGCGATTCGAAACTTCGAATGCTTGACGTAAGATAGGGCTTTCATTAGTACGTTGGCAACTTGGTCGTCAGTTGGCACATATTCAAGATTGATTTCGCGATTTTCGACGTGTTCGCGGATGAAGTGTTGTCGTACACCGATATGTTTGGTTCGGGCATGGAAGGTGGGATTCGTCGCAAGCGCGATAGCGCCTTGGTTGTCGACTAAGAGAGTTGTTGGTTCGGCGAGGGGTAGGTTAATGTTGCGGAGAAACTGTTGTATCCAAAGAGCTTCTTTAGCCGCGTGCGTTGTAGCCATGTACTCGCCTTCTGTGCTAGAGAGAGCAATGGAAGCTTGCTTCTTTGAACTCCAGCTGATGGCAGCTCCTGCCATAATAAAAACGAAACCGGAGATGGACCGATAGTCCCTTGAGTTGCCAGCCCAATCAGAATCTGAGTACCCGGTTTTGTCATCGTTAGTGGAATTACCGTCATAGACTAACTTGAGATGTTTTGACGCGTTGAGGTAGCGAAGTAGTCGGTTGACGGCAGTCCAGTGTTCCTCTCCTGGATTAGAAGAGTACTGACTTAGTGTGGTAATGGCAAAACTGATGTCGGGGCGAGTCCCGAGCATAGCGTACATGATGGATCCAATGCGGGATTGATATTCACGGGTGTTGATGTCGGGGTCAGGTTCTTCATGGCGAGCAAGTTTTACGTTAGAGGACATGGGTGTCGAGACGTTACGAGAGCCATTGAATCCAAAGCGATCGATGACATCAGTGATATAGCGTGATTGAGAGACGAAGAGTAGTCGCCGTTGGCGATCGCGTGTGATCTCCAGTCCAAGAAACCAGTGAATCTCCCCCAAGTCCTTCATCTTGAATGTGGACATTAATTGCTTCTTCTTCTTCCGAAGGAGGGGGAGATGGTTGGAGAGGATCATCAAGTCATCGACGTAGAGCGCGATGATACAGAAGGTTGCCCGATAAGTAAAAATGAAGACAGCGTGATCTGAGTTCGATCGGGTAAAGCCGAGTTTATTCAACTCTTCTTTGGCTTTCGTGTACCACGCTCGCGACGCTTGTTTGAGACCATACAAACTTTTCTGCAACTTCCACACTATGTCCTTCCGCCCATAATCGATAGATCCAGGAGGGGGTTGCTGTCAGAGACTGGATTTTGTCAGAGGCTGGGATATTGTCGGTGTCGGAGATTGTGGCAGAGGTCTGTTGGAGCGCGCACGCGCGGATATGCGGGTGGAAATATGCGGCGCGTCCGGAAGCGCTGTTCAAGGTTAGCAGAGTGGGATCGCGGCCTCAGCGACTCAGGTGGAGCGCTGTGCCCTGAGCTTGACGTTTGGGGGAGATCCCGTATTTACAAACTGACACTTACAGCGGACTTCAAACAAGACTTGCGGGCGGAGCGGACCTATAGGAGGAGCGCGGACTCCGCAAGCACGGACTCAGAGGGGGGGAAGCCCCCTTTGCAGAAGGAGGGACTCAGACCAGACAGGGGGGGTACTCTAGTTGATTTCAGACTCTGGTCCCCGAAAGTATTTACAAGGTATATAAATAGGCAAGAGGGAATATAGAAAGGCCGGTCAGTCCGGCGCAGTCTGGCGCGGAGATAAGCGGGAATTGTCAAACTAAATAAGGACAAGAGCCCGGGAACTGGAAACGAGGAACAGATCAATAAACAATAAGTGGCAAGGGTTATTGATGAATAACTGAATGAGATCAATAACCTAGTGCCAATAAAGAGGGGATCAAATGCCGATATTGGCAGGGAAGCAAACAATAATTGGCACTCGGCAAGGAATGAATGATAAGCTGCCAAGTGACAAATGGCCAGAGGAAAAGCGGAGGTCAGCGTGCGGCGCCGATACAAGTCCGCAAATAAGCGGGGCATGGCTGTGACCACATAGCAGGAAGCGATGAGTGTGGTTCAGATGGAGACAAGGCAGGCGTGACTGAATGCCGGGAGCGCCAAGGGCTCAGGAACTGGAGGTAAGGTCGGAATACCGGCAGGGTCTAGGTTCTGATTCTTGGCCAAGTCTCACGCAGTAAGGCAGGGGGCCAGACATGGGGTTGGGGGCTGGTTAGGATGGGTTTCGGGTCGGCGGATTCGCCTATCGGCATTGGTTCGCCGCTGACGGAGCCCCGGGATTTGTCGGTCATGACAGTATCCCCCTCTTAGGGCCTGAACCCTTGAAGGCCAAGACCCAAGAGGCTCAGCTGATGTACGGATGTGTCTGGCTGCTAATCGGAGTACCACTGCAATGGTGCACATGGTCGCATTCGGAAGATTGGAAGCGGATGCCCAAATTCGGAAGAGGTTGGTCGGAGAGCGGGAAGGTGATGGCCAGGGAGGATCAGAGAAGACAAGAACAGAGGTCTGAACAGAAGAACAAAATGGCAGAAAACAGGAGAACAAGGTTCAGATCAGATCAGAAAACAGAAAAATGAGTGACGGGAGTCGGAGAGCAGAAATCGGAAGGTGAACAGAAACGGATGGGAAATCAGAAACGGGAGGTGATACGGAAAATGGAAGTGGTCCGAGGCCAAAATGGCCAGGGCCCAGAGGTCTAGGGCAGACATGGCTCAAGGCCAAACAAAAGTCGGAGGGGTGATTCGGGGCCGACGTGGCTCCGGACCAAGAGGGGTGTCGAAGGCTGAGAGGCCTAAGACCAGCGTTCGGATTTGAGAAAAGGGCATGGCCCAATTTTCCAGAATGACTGCACAGGCCGCAATAGTGGGCCTGGCATCAGAGGCGCACATGGTGGGTTGAAGGTCGGGTGACCAGCGAAGCGACAGAGGTTGAGTTGGGTGGGTTGCTAGGAGCAGGGACATTGTGCTGTTCAGTACCCATCCGGATCAACGGATCACAAGAGGGCGATTCAGTTGTCCTAGCATGATAGCGACCTAACCAACAGCGGAGTTGCGGAGTTGCGGCAAAAACCTCACCAGTGGCAAAGCGGAGAAGCGGCAAGGGTCGGGAGCGAAGGCTAGTGACCAATGGCACAGACAGAGTGACCAAAAGGCCAGGGGGCAGATGGTGAAGACTAAGCATGGCTTAGGTCTCCCAGGAACGGTGCATGCTCAGTGGGTCGGGTGTCGGAGTTGGCTCAGGTGGATTTGGGCTGGAATGCTTGGGTGTGTGACTTTGCCAATCAGTAACCGGCTAGATCAACGGATCATATGGGTAAGTTGGCTGTCTTAACACCATGGCATATCAGATCCGAGGTAGGAGAGGGGCTTGGAGACCACACTGGCAGCGTGACGGAAAGGAATGACGGAGAATGAGGTGGCGAACAACGGCAAGACCTCAGTGGTATGCACCGAGTCTGCTGCCGGGGTTCCGCAAGATCGGGAGTGATTTGGGTTTCCTGAAGGGGAAAAAGGTCAGAGGTTACGTGATTTCAGAAAAGCCAGGAAAACATCCAAGAACAGAGATTCAGAGCGGGAGAGGACAGGTCAGGACAGGGGACAGAAACCCCGGAGTGGAAAACATTACGAGACAGGAGACAGAAGTCCTGGAATGGGAAATCGACCATCGCAGGAACCAGAGAAACAGAGGAAGGGAATCAGAAGGAATCGGACAGAAGATGAAGTTGCCTCGGCAGGAGAGTGCGGGCCCGCAATGGGGCTTATCGCAACTGAGGTGCCTCAGAGAGGACTTACAGAGTTGACTTATGCGTGCCCGTGAGGGGCTTACCGCAAGTTGGTGTTCAGGGGAGAACACTGCAGAGTCACAAGCCTGAGGGGCTGTGGGAGAGGTGCCTCAGCGGAGGTCTTTCAGAGGAGCGGGTCCGCAAAGGGACTTATCGCCAGAGGGTGCCTTGATAGGGAGGGCTTCAGAGATGCGTGTATGCTCAGGGAGGCTTATTACACTCGAGAGAGAAGTCGAGGGTGTGGTGAAGCGTCTGCAGGTGTGAAGGGAACCAATCCTCATGGCTTGGAGTGAAAGAAGCAGATGGTTGGATGCCTTTGAGGACGGCGCGGAGCGGAAAACATCGGCGGGACCATCAATGGTTGACTTGGCGACGTCCTTATCCCCCTCTTGGGGTAGACGTCCCATCGTCTACCTAGGAACAAACGACACCGAGTTTCCAGGCAGAGGCAGAGCTCGTAACGGAGTGGAGATTGCAGAGGAGAGACTTCAACAGGCTGCCTAACCAGCCAGTTAAGTCCAGACAGAGCTGACGGAGGCGGAATACCAACAAGCGGATTGCCCAGCAAGTTGTAATCCAGAAGCGGAGTGGTAACGGAGCGGAGGTTCAAGCGTGCAGAGTGCAACACAAGAAACCAGATGCGGAAGGGTGACAAGGAGTAGCAGAGTTAGGATTCTAACAAGCAGGTTATCTGCGAGTCAGAATACCAAGAACGGAGTAGGACTCCAAGGGAACAAGGAGGTTGGAGAGGACAGGGAGTGATAGACCACAATCAATAGCGGAGTGGAAGCGGAGGCGTGAACGTAAATCCCAAACCAAGGAGCGTGGCGGAAGTCAGACACTTATCGCCTATAGTGGACTGTACCAACGGGTACCAGCACCAAGGTCGAATTATGTAGACTTGGCCAGTCCCAGGTAGGAGGAATGTCGGAAGGCTCAGAAGCGCCAGAGGC